CTTGGTGGGGTGAGAGGACACGCCGTCCAGAACAACGGCACTGTCAACTGGGGACGGGGCGGGACGGAACACCAGGGGCCACAAACGTGATCTCGCAATAAAGCTAATGAACTCACCATGCTGGAGTGAGTGTGCTTCAGGAGGATGGCGTGTCCGTACAGCAGGGTGCGGTGACCCCCCCCCTGTGACGACTGGGAGAAGGAGGTGGAGGCAAACAAATCAAACGTACGAGAGGTTACCGTATTCAAAGCCGGCCCTTAATAAAAATACACACTAACTGATCTCAGTAGAACCGGGGAGCATTTACAGACATTTAGTGGCACAGTGACGCAGGAAAGGAGACAACGTACCCATTTGTCCAGATCAACCGCCTGAGGACGGCAGGCGGCAGCGAGAAGGAACCAGTGGCGTCGAGTCGGGAGAGAAGACAAAGCGTGTTTTAGTCGTGTTTAGATGGACGAGACGTTGCATTTGTTTGTTGCAGCACATTTTGATGTGTTTTACCTCATCAACGGAAGAGTTGGAGAGCATTTCCTGTAACGCCCGCACAGAGAGGGACTGTTCCAAAATGAAGCAGCATATAGCGAGGTCCGGAGGGATGTTCTGAAACACGGGACACCAGTGAACCCTGTGCAACAGTGAAAACCCTCAAAGAGATTGAGGAAGAAGGCACGGACAACCGATTCACTACCTGAGCGTTGGAGGTGGTTTCCAGGAAACAAAGACGGTTCCCAAACCCTTCGCATGACAGACACAGCTTGATCTGCTCCTTGAGAATAGACGCAGTGCACTGAAGCACCACCTGGTCATCCTGCAAAGACAAGGAAACAAGAGTGCAAAGTGAAGGACGAGGGTTTTTCAGAGGGACGGACGTAAATGGGAAAAGGTCCCGGGCCTGAGCTGTCTGGGGCGGGGGGCTGTCATTCAAAAGGTTGATGTATGTAAAATAAACATTTGATCAAACATAGCAACCCTGACTGTGCATATTATAATTAGGATATTAGACTTCGGTACAGGTCAGACCCACATGACGCAAACTGTACTATATTTGCGAGGGGTGAAATTACAAGTGAAACTAATTTAGGTGTGGCTGCGCGCCGACAAAGCTGCTAACAATGGAACCCGGATAGGGTTCCTGTCTGACTGCAGACCACCACATAAATGATTTAGTTGTTGCCCACCAAACCTCCGAGCCTCCAGGCCGCATCGAGGCCAAAATACATGACAGAAACACGCAAAAACAGCTGTTTCCTTTCCCCACTTGTTATAACCTTCAGTTGTTTCTGTGCCGTTAATGTTCTCGCCTGTGTCACTGGCCAAGACGCCAGCCCCCCCCCTTCCTCCCCCCCTGACTTCTGATCTCTATTTCAGGCTGCTGCACCTGCTTCTCACACCCCCCCCACTGATATTACGGATTCGACAGTCAGAAAAAAAAAGAAGCGGCACATTTGACAGATCCGGTATCCCAATTAGTGGCTCGCTGAGGGGAGTGATGTTCAAAACTCAACTTATGTCAACCTTTCATTTCTCAGCTGGGCACATGCCTTTAAATGACACATGTCATTTTACTAGAGAAATTGTTGTCACATGTGTATTTGGGTCAAAATGTAATCTTCATTCCTGAAGCGGGAAACTGATAATTAATAAATACAACAAAAAGAATGAATTAAGATCATTCGCATCGCGCCCGAGTAAAGATTTGTGAGACTTGTGCATCGTTGTTCTGGGTGAGTTGGTGCGGTCGCTTTCCTCTTCTCTCGTGTCCTGAATGACATCATGCTTATCGAGAACGATGAAACACCTTTCCTTACCAGTAGACCCGAAAGTCAAGTTAGCAGGTTTGCTCATGATTTACAACATTGTTTATATCGACACGACAACATGTGACAGCTGTCGTTACCACAAAGACAATTCTGCCAAATAGAGACCCTGCGACAAACAGACATTCCCGCCATAGCATGTGACAGAAGTAAGTGTCCAGTTTCCTTCACGTTCGGTTCCTCGGTTACTGTGAGGACAGGAATGTGTCTGCGGACGGACGGACGGACTGATGGACCGAAAGACAGATGCAACGTGCCAAACGCGCGGCCGGCAGCCGGGCTGCTTATGTGGAATTTCCGATCTTCGCTCGCAGATTTTTACCACGTAAAAGAACCCTTATAGAAATCTGGGGCGACGTTTCCGAAACCGGCGTCTGATGACACACATTTTAGCAATAAAGTTCCCTCGCGGACTGATGCAAGCAGGTGGTGAAATGGGCCGAGCTTCGGACCTGTTAATCCTCACACAGTAAATATAGACCTCGGAGTTCAGGGGGAACGGCTTTAGACTGACGGTTACTTTGTTGACTTATTTAACTTTAGCACGGCGCCGCAAGCCGTGAGACAATGCTGACGTTCGGCTTTTTAGATTTGTGCAGCTGCCAGAATGAATGTGTGTAAAAGAGGACATTAGGATTTGATGGTATCCATTGACAAAAACACAGACTGCAAACGTCAGGATGCAGATCTTAAGTGCCGTCAAAGAAGTGAGTTAATCAGTGTCTGGCTGACGCTGGCTGCGGGGCTTCGGTTACCAGCGTCTAGAGAAAACTCAAGTGACGCTATGTGGAACATCTACAACAGCCAGGTTTCAGCGCTGACTTGCCAAGCGGAGAGTGTTACTAACAGCATGCTGCTTGCGAGGGTACAATGCCCTTCTGGCAATCAGATAGCTCAGCGGTGAGTAGTGCAACCAAAATAAACCGATTTAAGATGATCGTGATGAATTTAGTCAAAAGAAATGTTCCCAATATACTGAAAACAACAAAATCATTTTGCTTGGGGTGCGTGAGTATAAAGAGCAGAAAAAAACTTTTTAAAATTTTGTTGGTTGGAATGTGCGTCTGTCTGAAAAAGTAGACCAGGACAAAAACGTACACGCACCCATAACACCACTACAGGCAATGGTGAGGTTGAGTCCAGCACACCACCATTCACTGGTACTGAATTATTCGTTCCAGCGTTTGTCGTTGAATTAGTCGAGCTGCCTCCGATCTTTATTACGCAGACTCAACATCCTGCTGAACAAACCACTAATAAGATCAGAACTCAATTCATTCTTCCAGTGGATTTTCATTTAAACGATTCAACAAATCACTCAGCCGTTAAATAAACAGTTGAGCATCATAATTGTCATCAAAATAAACACGGCCCATACAAGTACATTTGCTCGGTATCAGTCAGTGTCTGAATACTTTTGTGTAACTGTATCTAATTACCTTTGGTAATCTGTTATGAGTTAAGTATTAACTGTCACAGCCAGCGTTCTTCCTTGAGACAAAACAGAAATAAATCCCCGACCGGTTGGGATATTAATAGATAACAATGCAACCAGCCACCTGTCCGCGCCAATCTATGCTCGGTCCTTGGACAGAAAGTTACTCTACACAGTGAATGTCCAGGATCTATTGAGGTTAAACAAATGGCTACAGTTGCTGTTGACTGTTGACAGGTTATGCTCACTCATAGCCAGACAGCATCTCTTACCGTACGCAGGAACTGGATCTCTTCCTCCCCATCGGCACCTTCGGCCATTTTCCCGAGGCATTAACAGAAAAACCCCTGAGAGAATGGGAAAAGGTCTGTCGCTCACTTCTGCAACTCCCGGTGCGACATGAGGCAAGGCGATATCGGTCAAGGTTTGTGAAGGGCAGTGCGGGTCCGGTGCCTCTCCCCGGCTGTGGTATGAGGCAGAGGGATTGACTGTCCACTCCTGTTCATTACAGCATCACAAAGAGGTGGAGCAAGTCGTCACAGTTCAACCACTGACTCAAATGTCCCATGCAGCGGAGTCTAGTCTGGACCATTGTTTTTTGCAATATGTTGTTGCATTAGAAAGGAAGTAAGATATTAAAACAAACGAGAACTCGTATGATGCCGTAACAATTTGGGGAAAAAAGGAGGAAAACAAATGCTTGATTTTATGAGGATGAAATAGTTCAAGAGTATTTGATTTGAGTCTCATCGTGGATTTTTTGCAATTTCCCTACATTTCACTTTGAAAATGTATAAAAGACATGAAGATAAACAATTAAGATTATGTTTTGTTGACAAAGATTTATTTTCTTCATCTAATTTCCTTTAGAGTAACATATTGTTATATACAAATTGTATTTTTGTATGAACAATTTAAATAAAAAATGCACTGTATATAAAATTTCAATAAGATCAAACTAATAAATACTAATAAATGCTGTGTACAAAAAATAAGAAGGTTAATTGAATACTTACCTGGAGATTATCTTTCTTCATGTTGCATTTCCTGGGAGGCCAAACACCGGCCTGCTCCGCTATCAGGTGTAAAGAAGTTAAAGAAAGGTAGAGAGAATCAATCCACAAATAAGCACAATATACATTGACATTGAACCCTCAAACGTTAACTTAACGGTAGGTTAATAAAATCCGGTGAGGTCAAACGTAGGAGCGCGAGCCTCGTTTATGACGTCGTATCGAATATGTTAAATAAACGCACCTCTACGGTACAACGTTGTGATTATTAATATCGGCGTGAATCGCAACCAGTGCAGGAAGGACGTTGCTCACTAAGTCATTACGTTTTGTAATATATCATTTTACAGTTTCTAACAAATACCTTCATCAAATAGCGACATGCTACTCACTTCCGGTGGAGGGCAGCACCGCGGGAGAGGTGCGCAGTGTCTAACACGGTAGAAGAAGAAAACGGTACGTCGGTTAAACAGTTCCCCCCTGCATTTCCGGTGTCAGGTACGCGCTATTTGCAGATTCTACATCGGCAGTCTCACATTATGTAAAACTGTAGTAGTCTTGCTTCCCATATGAACGTTATAACGTGCTCTTTTGATGATACGACGCTAGCCATTGCGTCACGTCACGCTACAAAGCGACTAATGCGTTGAGATCGGTCACGGCTTGCTAATGTTTATGTCGTTCGTAGCACTAGAACGCCAAACGGCTTAACGCTTGATACACGGCAGCAGAATGGATGCCCTGACCCAAATGCTCACTGACCCTCTGGATCCAAAAGAAGAAACCGACGGCGCAATCACAGAGGAATGCATGCTGGGCAACTGCAGGTTAGACCTTCCAGAGGACCTGCTTGAAGACGTGAGTAGTCCTGCGCTCGGTTACCTCTACGTATAAAACACAGCGCGGCTTCCGCAATAATTTGTGCCCTTTTTGCTTTTTCATTAGCCTGACATCTTCTTCTCTGTGATGAGTGGGAGCACCTGGAGTGAAGTGCTTTCGGATTCTCAGAGGCAGCACCTTCGTCAGTTTTTGCCTCAGTTTCCCGACAACAACGTCGCGGAGCAGGACAGCACCATCGGTGACCTTTTCCACAACAGGAACTTCAACTTTGGAAATCCCCTTCATCTCGCACAGAAGCAATTCAGAGGTGATTGCCCAGCCATCCGCTTATGCAAAAGTATCTTGAACTTTGTGGTTAAGTATTTATTACTAACTAGAATATAGAAAAATGATAAAGAATACAGAAATCATCAACACAAGTCATAAGTATAGACAGAAGTCAAATGGCTACAATTCAGCTGAAAAGGGGGCAGATTCCTTCCCCTAAAAGGAGCAGGAGGATCTGAACAAGTTTCTAGAGGAGAACAGGAGGTTTTATACACTTCAGGGTGGGTCAAGAGGAATGTATGGAAAAGTACCAGACAACGCAGGGGAGACACCGCGACCCGCCCCTATTGGGACCCAGTCAATAAACAACATTTTGAAAGATCAGTCAGGGCAACCCATATCTCACCCTGGACTGCCGTAGGTCACCTAAAAGGTCACATTCCTGAGAGACCCACACTATGCACAAATTCTCCCCCGACACTCGGCAAAACATCACAACATCCTTTTTTTTTTTTTTTTTTGAAGTACTTTCTGACCATAACTCCCGTTGTATCGACCCAGATGGTTACTTCAATCCGGAGGTGGTCAAGTACAGACAGCTGTGTGCCAAGTCCCAGAGGAAGAGACAGCTGTACTCCCTTCAGCAGTATTACCACCGGCTTTTGAAGCACATTCTCGTCTCCAGAAAGGTATTTTTTTGTGATGGTTTTAAAGTACAATCCCCATTGTTTCTCCCCGTTAGTCTTAATGTGTCTTGTTTTTTTATTTTTCTCTTCGTAGGAGCTGCTGGAGTTCGCCGTTCACAGTGGTCTGGACTTTCCATCCAAAAGGAAGTTACCGGCCAAGACTCACGCTGAAATGCGGGAGCCGAGGGTGAGAAGAAGATTGAGCCGCATATTGAAGGAGGTCAAAACCGAGTGTGGAGACAGCGATGCTTCGTCTGACGATGACGGTCAGTCAGTTCTTTCATTGCTGTCACGGCCCGATGCCGCTAACTTTCTTTTTAAATTTCTGTATAAGCGCTTGTGAACATTAATAAGCATCTCATTGTATAATACTTGTAGACACTTCATTATGGGCTCCAGCTCCCCAATCGCCTTCGTCTCCGACGCCCGCTGTCTCGCTCCGAGTTCTGCCCAGCCTCTCCACCCAAGACATGAAGACTACTGGTGAGGGATTTCTCCAATACCAAAAGGATGCTACACGAATGGGGAATATAATGTTTCAAGACATTTTTTCATTTTTTTTTTCACAGAAGGAATAGAACTAGGGGAACGGGATTTGAAATCCATGCTGCATAACCATCGGGAGAAGAGGAAGCGACAGCCAGTAAGTAAAAAAAACTCCAACATATTTAGTCTTGATTTGCACAAAATCGCATTAATGGCTGATTTGTTCAGGATCACCCGGACTTGATGACCTCTGACATCCACCTTGGAGACGTACTTTCTAGAGCGAATATTGGTCGGAAGGGTGCTGTGGGTGAGTAAAGTAATGAAAGAAGTGTGTGTGATAAATATTAAGTAAAAGTACCATTTGAGTTATGGTTGAAATGTCCCTTTCCTCGCAGCATTGTTTGACCTGTCTCTGCCGAAGAAGAAGATCAAAGACGAGAGGAGGAAGAAGAAAATGAGGACGATAAAAGTGGAATCCGAGGATCCCTGTGAAATTCTCGCACCCTCAGACGCCCCTTCAGCTCCAACGGCCGGCATCATCAACTCGCTGCCAGACACCCCGTCTACTCCACTGGCCAACATCAAGGAGGAGTGAGTATTCTTTACAGTATTCAGTGTGTGTGCTCTTTTATGCATGCCACACATGCATATATTGATTGAGTCTGCTGTTATCAAACACTACCCGCCATCTTTAAAGAATCGTGGAGGAGTGTCAGAGCAGCCCGGCGGCCCTCGAGGAGATAGCCATCAGTTTCTTCAGCTTGTTGGAGAGCATCTTAAGGGCAGAAAGCTTCACCAGCACTTCATTGGTAGGAACTCTTTGCAGACCCCCGCCTGCATATTACCAAGACCATCACGGTTCTGACTGCGTGAAGTAACGCCCAACATTGTGCTCTCCCAGTTGGAGGATAAAGTTCAGATGTGGCAGTTCTCTCCTGCGAGCTCCCTCAACGTGTGGTTTTCATCCGTCCCATGTTGGTCTGACTTGGTTCTTCAAGCCCTGCAGTTTCTTGCAGGAGAGACCAAAGGTACGCAGCGTCGGCCACGGCACCCAAATGGTCAGGCATCATTTTCCAGCCGGCGTCGCTCACGAACGTTATGTTTCAGATGGTATGATGGCGCTCCCCAGCGGATTTTCTCCTTTTGTGGAATTTTCTGATGAATCTCAGCAGTGGAGTTGGATCGGTAAAAGGGATTTTTTTTTTTTTTTTTAATCCCCGTTTGACATGGTGCTTGGTAACTGATTGTGTTCTTCTCAACCGATTATTTTAAGGACCCACTCAGGATACAGAGAAGGATCTCAGTGCCCTGTGTCAGTTGTGGCTGGACTCCAAGGACTTAGTCATAAAGGTAGTAGCAGCATGTTACTCAAGCATCTCACATGCTAGGTCACTATGTTTATGTTTATTATGTTTACACGGTTTCATTTGTCCTTTGCAGACGGAACACGAGGACATGCTCGAGATGACGTCCCCCACACCCAGAGTGTAAGATTCCAGGAATTTTTTATTTTTATTAATGAGAATTCGTTGATTGGCCGCAAATTTGTTCATTTTTGTTTGTGAAGCCGAGGTTCAAGCTTATAAATATACAAGTTATTTGCAGTAGGGTTTGTAGTTTTGGTTGCAGCACCACAGTTGCTCAAGTCAACAGTGTAATTTCTTTATCCGAGCAGCTCAACTGATTATGTGGTGCGGCCCAGCACCGGAGACGAGAGACAAGTCTTTCAAATCCAGGTTCGCTTGTGCTTCTTACTTCCAACATTTTGCCTGATGTGGACATGAACTCTCTGAGCCAACACCTTTTTTTATGTTTTTATTTTTTAGGAGCAGCAGCGATACAACCAGCCACACAAAGCCTTCACCTTCAGGATGCACGGCTTTGAGTCGGTGGTGGGGCCGGTCAAAGGCGTGTTTGATAAGGAGATGTCCCTGAACAAAGCCAGGGAGCACACGCTGCTCCGTTCAGACCGACCGCCATACGTCACCATTCTCTCCCTGGGTGAGGCCCTCTGTTTATTACCCTCCGCCGTCACGCTGTTTGAAAACAAAAACGAAAGGAATCTCATCGTGCGATTCTGCCCTCCGACCTCCGCAGTGCGGGATGCGGCGGCGCGGCTACCCAACGGGGAAGGAACCAGGGCCGAGATCTGCGAGCTGTTGAAAGACTCCCAGTTCCTCGCTCCAGATGTCACCAGTGCACAGGCGAGGACCCTTTAGCATAGCGCACTTGCGTGTACCTTTTTACATTTTCCCTGCAGCCTCCTGAGTTATTACCCCGTTTGCCGCTCAGGTGAACACGGTGGTCAGCGGAGCCCTGGATAGACTTCACTATGAGAAGGACCCCTGCGTGAAGTACGACATCGGCCGCAAGCTTTGGATTTACCTGCACCGCAGTCGCAGTCAAGAGGAGTTCGGTGAGGAACCGTGATGACCTTTTGTTTTAGGGTTGAATGTGAAAAACGTTTATCTCTGTTTGGTGATCCAGCCACGGTCTGAAAGGGTCCCTTTGACCCCCGAATAGTAGATGCTCCCAGTCAAGATGACGGTGATGTGGAAAGTATTTGAATGGTCCTGTTTTCTTCCCTTCGTCCAGAGAGGATCCACCAGGCTCAAGCTGCTGCTGCAAAAGCCAGAAAAGCCCTGCAGCAAAAGCCCAAACCCGCATCCAAGCCTGTGAGTCCCCCGCTCCCGTGTTACCGCAGAAACGACTGGACTCTACGGACAGCTACTGCTGACCCTTTTCTTCTGGAGTTTAATTTTGTGAAACTCCCCCCGTTATGTTTTAGAAATCCGGAAGCAAGGACGGAGGCGGCAAAACCCCAGGATGCCTGGAGGCGGGACAGGATGTGATCTCCAATCCCATGTCGCCAACCCCTACAACACCCACCCAAAACACACCCGGAACCCCAAAGTCACCCTTACCATGCACCGCCTCCACGCCGACAAAGACCGGCGCCCCCGATACAATCAAAACCAGCACAGGGTCAGTGGGACTCAATGATTTGTGTTTTTCTTGTTAATACGGCCGTGATGGCGGAAACGCAATCGTCTCATCTCTTCCCACTTGTCGCTCTTCCAGCGTTCTTCTCGTGCCCCCCCCCTTGTTGCCCCAGCTGGGAAGCATCCTGCCCGCCAGCCAGGCGTGTCCGCCGGTGTCCCAGCCGGTCACGTCCCAACACGCGGCCCGCCTAGTGAGCCACCTGGCGGCCGGCTCCCTCCCCCAGGTCCGGGTCGTCTCCGCTCAGCCGGGTCTGGTTTCGTCGGCAGGGAGTCACCAGGCCGCTCTGGTGCATCAGACCTCTCACCAGATCAGGATGCCGATGGCGATGGCGGCCAAGGGCATTTCACAGGTAAACGCCGGGCCGAAGAGCCGCGCGCGCCGCTCTCTTTGCGTTTCCCAAACGTACGCCTGACTGGTTGCTTGTGGTCTTACTGCGTTTATCGTTAGGCGGTGGTTTCTGTGCCTCTGAGGAGTCCGTCTGCCTGCAGTCCGGTCCACGTGCCAAACACCCTGTCCGTGTCCGCCGTGGCCAAACCTCAAGCCGGATCGCCCGGCGGCAACAACAACCCTTCCGCCCCTGCAATGCTGCAAGGAATCGCCGGCCCGAGCATCAAGCAGGTTCGTGTCCAGTGGGATATTTGGCCAGTGAGGAAGTGTTGAACTGCAAGAATGTCTGGAGGCGGGATCTCATGTAGATTTAAAATGTTGGGGGGCGGAAATGCTCTCAAAGTGTAGAAATGAGTCTCTCAGTTTTCTCCAGTATGTATATTCTGCAGGTTATGAAGATGACAGAAACGTAACCTTAATTAACTAACCAATTGCCACGTTATCATATATTTTTTTTAAAGGTGTCCATCACAGGCCAGTTGGGAATGAAGACCGCTGGCGGCGGAGGAATTCCAATAACGGCCACAAATCTGCGCATCCAGGGCAAAGACGTTCTCCGTCTGCCGCCGTCTTCCATCACCACGGACGCCAAAGGACAGACGGTGCTGCGGATCACCCCGGACATGATGGCCACTCTCGCCAAATCCCCCGTCGCGACCGTCAAGCTCACGCCCGACTTCCTGGGCGCCGCCGGCGCCGGCAAGAGCATATCGGCCACTCTCCACGTGACGCCGCCCCACTCCTCAGCTTCCTGCGGCCCCGGCGCGGTCGCGTCCTGCACGGGGGAAGCCAAGACCACCAAGGCGGGCCCGGTCGGTCCCAGCCTGCTGAAGGCGGCGGGAGACGCCGCCATACGACTGATGCCCACGCTGGCGGTGACCGTGGCCGACCAAAAGTCCCGGCCCTTCTCCAGCGTGTCCTCCGGCGACAAGAGCGGCGCCACCATACGGATAATGCCGGGGCTCGGCGTCATTCCGCAGAAACAAGGGCAGACCATCACCATGACGACCACCACCGGCAGTAAGACCCTCACGGCGTCCACGTGCGCCAACGTGATGACCATGGCGGCCAGCGTTGTGGCCGGTGCCAAGGGGATCACGGTGGCGCCCGGAGTGTCGTGCTCCCCTCTGACGCTGGGGACCGCCACGGCCACCGTGCGGCAGGTTCCCGCCACCGTGGTCACCACTCAACCCGTAAGACGATGAATCTGTCACTGTTCATATGATGTTTTTTGCTTTCGTTCTGGTCGGTACCATCGGATGAGGTATACGGTTTAATGTGACATATTTGATTCTTTATAGTTTTAGCCCAACGTTGGAGCTACACAGGTGTGTATCTCTCAGTTTTAGTCAGTCGACTCTTTTTAGGATCTGCATGTAAGAAGCAGAACGGCCTCTAGATGCCAGCGTTTCACACTGTTTGTTAGTGTGGCAACATCGTGCTGCAGTAGCTCTGATAAACAGCAATTTAATACATTTAGGTGTGTTCTTATACTATAGACGTACCTCTTGTACTACTTAAAATTTAATTAGCCTTTACAAACACATTGTTTTATTTGAGTTGTAGTTGGATTCCATGTGTGCACCACAAGCCGTCTGAATTTAGGTGTCTGAGTGTCGTCTTTTAGTTTGAACGGGGATGTTCAGTCAAAGTCACCTCTCCGTCTAAGTCATCGAGGAACTCCCCATCTAGTTGATTGAATTTTCAAAGTCACATGACTCAATGAAGAATGCGCTCTTTTATTTTTTTTAATTTTTCACTGTAGGGGAAGTTACCTGCGAGGATCACTGTGCCCATTTCAGTCCTGAACCAACCACTGAAGACTAAGAGTGTTGTGACCACACCGATGGTGAAAGGAAGCCTGAACACTAAGTGAGTCACCTGCACCGTTTCATCTTCTTGTTCCGTTTCTTTGTGGTTTGACCTCCATTTGGTGCCTCCTTAATCAGAGGAGGGCAACTATTTACGTCTGCTGTTTCTATATTTTGATGGTACTGTAGAGGCAGACTTTTTTTTGCCTATTTCTTCTCCTTTTATTCTCCGAGCAGCCTCAGCAGTCTGGGCAGGAACATCATCCTGACCACCATGCCCGCCGGGACGAAGCTCATCGCAGGAAACAAACCGGTCAGCTTCGTAACAGCACAGCAGTTCCAGCAGCTTCAGCAGCAGGGACAGGCCACGCAGGTAGGTTCATAAAATCTGGGCTTTGATCCAGGCGAGATGGCTTCATTTGTCTTGGAAAGAGATGTAAATCGTGCGGAGGTGAAAGCTTGTTTTCCACGTCACGAACATTTGAGTTGACGCAGCTCGGTCTCCGTCGTCTCAGGTCCGCATCCAGACGGTGCAGGCGCAGCAGCTCCAGCAGCACATGGCGTCTGGCTCCCCGAAATCGGTGTCCACGGTCGTGGTGACAACGGCGCCGTCGCCCAAGCGCGCCCCCGACCCCCCCGCTGCACCTCAACAGTGATGCAGCCGCCTCATTCGCAGAGGAAACGAGGTCCACTGTACAGTATATATTTGGTCATTTATGTCCTTGAGCTTTTTCAGGATGATTTGACTCGTTGCTAATTTCCCATGTGTGTTGGTAACACGCCTGTTATTCCTTTTCCATTTGGACGATACCTCCATAAACCAGACCGACGCATCTGTTCACTAAATGCTACGGGATTTTTATTGATCTGATTGATCTCTGCAAAGATGTACCAATATCGTCAGTATGTCTAAATTATTATTATTGAATAATATCTTCTATATTGTTACGGAAAAAATGTAAACCAGTCTACAGCTCACCAGATTTGACATAGAAATTGTGTTGAGGTTAACTAACTCTTAAAAGTCCTGCTGGTATTTCACCTAAATAGTCTCAGCTTATTAATGAATATAAAACTACGAATTTCTATGACTGTTTGTAAGATATTCTCTCTGTCACTTCTATAAATGTTTGATGTAATGCAATATCAAAGCAAGTGGGGATTTTGTGTCTTGTTGATTTTGTTTTATTACATGTTTTGTTCCCTTATTCGTGTATTTTATTTGATACCAGTTCAAATAGTTGAGCCATACAAGCGCATTCGAGTTCATATTGTTTTTGAAATTCTTAAGAGACCATATTAACCACACAAAAGATCTAAATACGTTGTACAAACAGCAGACTTGGTCTTCCAAGAACAATAACCATGGATTCACTCTTCATCCGACTCTTCTAGCAAAGCTTTCTGGGAGCTCGATTTGGAGGATGTGATTCGCATCTCCATGTCTTGTCCCCTCCCCGAGAACCGCTTCACCGCGCTGGTGGAACAAGATAAAACAAAAAAAAAATGTAGATAATGATGAATCTACAGCAGAATGAACTGATATTGCTGATATTTTCTTGTTTCTTGTTTTCTGTTCTTCCAGCGTGTACACAAGGAGGTGCGACTATGCACAGTGCGAGTAACGTAATGTGATGCTGTTTAAACGATATTAACGCTCCGATGACAAAGAACAAGAGGACAACCTGATCTGAAAGAATAAGGCTTTCAGGACAAGAGCGTTGCAAATATCCGTAAGGCCGTGTAAATATTTTACTAGTTACTTTTGCGGTTACTGTGCCCTGTCGTCAGATGTTGAATGTAAACAAAGACCCGTTGACTGAGCACTTCGGGGCACCTTAAAATGCAGGTTGAGAAACTCTAAAAGTCCCAATATTCTCCTTGGCCTTATTGAAAAGTGCTATTGTCACTGAAGAAATGATTTGATCTAATTTCATCTGAAATGTTGATAAACTATAAAGCATCGAGCGAGCTGACACCAATCGGAAGACAGATTTATTCATTTTGTTCGTTCATTGTTCGTGTTTTTACTTTTTAAAAAGATAAGAGTTCTCATGCGTATAACTAATTAATTAATCATTAATCATTTGACTAGTCCAGCAGCTTTTGCAGCTGGCTGGTGGCAGGGTGGCCGTATTCTACAAGGCGGGTACTGTTCATTCCATCCTTTGTTGAGGCTAATTGTCTCCACATTCCCGCAAGACACACAACACACGCTATTGTTTACTTGCCATTGAGACAAAGCCAAGCAACCGCGTCATTCCTAAAAAAAAACAAGTGAACCTGTGAGATCAACTCTCCTGAACCGAAACACAGTTTCTCTGCCGTTAGAAGCAACTGACGTACCGGGTAAAGTGTTTTACGTTTACTGTCATGGAAGCGGGTGAAGTGCTTCACATTCATTTGCTTCTACTCCAGCTACCTGCTTCCAAACGCTCGCTGTGGGGCGACTGTTCTGCTTAGAGCTACGGCCTCGGTGCATTCAAAGGGGGGAAATACTTACAACCAAACCGCAGAGGAGATGCCGGCGACCAACAGCAGGGCCACAGCTAAATGCCAGCAGAAGCACATAGTGACGAACATGACGTTGTCGTGCAGGGTGAGGTCCCATTTGGGGCCGTTCGGCGGGTAAAGAACGAATCCAATCTGAAATGATAAACGTGATGAAGGATACAAAAAAAAAGGGTGGTTTTGGTCAGTGATGGGCATCAATTTACAAGTCACGTTCAAATCTCTTTGAAAAGACCCAACATGCAACTCATTTGCTGCTGGATGTTCATTAAGTAGTGTCATTATAATGCTAAACCACCTGGTAGAACCACGAGCCCTGCAGGAAGAACAGGCCCGCCCTGAGCAGCTCCAGAACAATGTCGTCTCTTTTGAACACCTCCAGCATGGTGCTGGCCGACGCGCTGAACACAGCGAAGAGCAGCAGGGAGTGGATGTGAGCGTCCAGTAGGGGCCGATTGTGCAAGTGGTAGAGGAACAGGAACCCTGGACCGTTGGCGAGTAAAAAAAAACAACGAAAAAGCTCAAAGCACACACCAGGGGAGAAGGTGTCTGTGATGTGAAGGAACCACGTGGAGCCAAAACTTGACTTACCTTCTACAAACAGAGCCAAGGACAGAGCGAGGCGGTCCAGACCGGCCGGCACCTGTTTGGATGCAGTACTGGCGACCAGCGCCATTCCAGAGATCCCAAAGAACAGATACATGGTGCTGTGCTGCCAGTTCATGAGCTTGACCCAGGATTTGCCCTCTGGGTTGTAAAGGCGGGCGTGCGGCCCGTCCACCACAAACTGTTCAACCATAATACCTGGAGCAGGACAACACCGTGCAAAAGAGGTGAGGGACAGTTCGGGTTTAGGTGGAGGTTTTTTTTTTTTTTTTACACGTGGTAAAACTGACCGACAAAAGAAGCAAAGATCAGGAACCCTCCCTCCATGTAGTCCAGTTTTCGAAATAAAGGCGGCATGACCCGTCTGGCTTTGGGCTGGTTGGTCCTCCAGTGGTGTTGCAGAATGTGTTTGACTGTTAGCCAAAAGCCATAGAGCAGGAAAAAAGATCCAGGAATGGCGTGTCCTCCAAAGTTGGCCATTGTCAGGCCTAAAAACATAGGAAAAACAACATACCTTTGATGGAAACACAATGATTACCATTTTAGCTCCATGCTCCTATTTATTTGAAACGGCTCCATTTTGAGGTCAAAGTACAAGAGTGTGGAATCATTTTATGAGTCATGTGATGATTAAAAGCATTACGGTATAACAATAAAAGAACTGAAAAGAGCAGCTGACAATGAGATATCACGACCACGGGATGGTTGATTCATTCAAGTGCTTTTGAGAAATGTCAGAGTATAGTTTCTTTACCAAATCCATGGATGCGTTTAATCGGCATAAAAGCTTCCCTAGTGATGTGTGAGAGGGACACGGAGTTAGTTTTGGTCTGTTAGGTAGGCCTTGTCGAATACCCCTGCCCTTCCCGTCAAACTAATCTCACTAAATCTTCCGCGGGAATGTGTTCAATGGAAACGAGGAAACAGGAATAACGTGTCATCCAGTACGCCGCCAGAGTAGGTTCATGAAATAATGGGCTTTGATCCAGACGAGATGGGTTCATTTGTCTTGGAAAAAAAATTTCAACGAGAGAACATGATCGTGTTCTTACATTTGTTTTATGTTGCTTTTTTTTTTTTTGTGTGTGTTACTTGCACACCGTCCTAATGAGCAGTTGGTGATTTTCATGCTTCACGAGGGTGTTTACAATCGGGTAGTTTGACCAGTTCTTCCAGCGCAGCACTGTTTGACATCATTCCACTTCACTCCTTTTACTCATAACAGACTTTGGTTCATTTTCAGGGCAGGTGTGTAGATGTCCCATCTTATAGATTCAAATGTATGGATTTGACTGTAAAATCAACCTCAACTACAAATATCCTTCCTACATCGTTTCTGCACGTCGAGAACCTTCAGCTGTAAGCGGTTACCGAACAGACGGCGAGAGGGAAGATGAGCGTTTTCCTATCACACCTGTAAAAAGACGACGGCAGATTGTACATACCTGATTCTCTGTTGAAAGAAATTCCAAAATGTTTCTGAAAGGCTTTGAAGATAGTAGATCTTGTCGGCGGTTAGAGTGACACCGTGGAGGATCTGTGTAAACTGTGCACCTGTCGCCACCTCTTTGTTGACATCACCACAAAGCCCCACCCATCATTTGCATTAGTTTCTACGACGGAGGGACGTCCCCCTGGGTAACGGTCGGGAGGAAACAATACCTGACCTTAGCTCAGAGTCAAGCTGTTCATTTGGTATAAAAACACAATTAGAGCTTTAAAACAAGTCGCCAATCGGCTTATTTTGCAGTTTTTCTCGCGGTTTAACTATGATTTAGAGCAAATGTATTTAAAGGACATGCCAACTGTGCGCAACACCGCCTTTTAATTTCTTAAAATAAGAGAAAAAGGCTGAATGAGAATTTTGCTGCACAGTTGAGTTAATACATAAACTCAGATTCGATGTGTGTGTGGAAGGAGCGGGCTGTCTGAATGAACTTTGTACCCAGCTCTGGTAAATCTTTATTGTCTTCATTATATCGTTAAATGGTCATTCCTCAGGTAAACGCAGTCACCGAAGAGCCACTATCACTAAAAAAGAATTCTGTAAAAAAAAAAAGATCCCAAGGTTCTTCATTATAGCTGAAAGTGAATTCAGAAATTGAAATAGTTAAGACATTTATCTTTTACACGTGCGGCTATAATATTTCACAGAATAATTTCTTCTCTCGAAACGGGTTCTCGGAGGAAGCTAATGGCGTCACCAGGGGGTCGTCTTTGGCATGAGCTTCACAGTAGGCCATCAGATCCGCTGCTGCTTTGGATATCTGTACAAAAAGGTAGTGTGTGTGTGTGTGTGTGTGTGTGTGTGTGTGTGTGTGTGTGTGTGTGTGTGTCGGAAATTGAAGGGGAAGAAGACAAAGAGAAACAGTTCAGTTATTCCTTATTTTGTTGGTTTATCTATACATTGAGTAAACACTGAATGTGTATTTTTTGGCATAAATCAAAATAGTAAAAACTGATATCAGTTATGGAAAAGGAGCACATTCATTGAAAACATGCAGACCTGAAGCCATTTCTTAACTTTACCATCATTATTCTTTATGTATTGTGCTGACTCACCATCATCCTCTCTATGTTGACCTCCAGTTTCAGTTGTTCTACCGTCTTGCGAGCATCTGCAATCTTGGCCATGTTGTTGGACATCCTGCCCCCTTTCAAACTCAAATCAGCCTGCAGCAAAACAAAATCAACACTGACGCATCAGACAATAAATAACCCTCCACGTCGACTTATTGGACAGCCAATAATTAAATGCGCCACTGAAAACGAAACAAACAAACTGGAAACACGAGACTCTTCTAAAGCACGAGAAGGTTGAGTCAGTTTCAATTTGCTTGTTAATTCTGCACTCTGGGTCTCAGCTGCAAGAGGCCCAGGGAGCGTCTTGGGAGGGGAGGGAAGGCGGTGCAGCCTCCCCAGGGGAGGGCATTCACTCGCTGAGCATGTAAATACATGTTATGGTGAACAACATTAACATTAAATAATTGTTGTTTCGGAATAGTTTTATCCTACATTTACAGGTGTACAGGGTGGCTTTCAATGCCAGCTGCTTTTATGATGCTCCAGTTCTGCCGTACTCACACAAGAAATGCACCTATTATTCCTTTAGGAGAGCAGTACATGAAAACAATCATTACTCAGCAACAAAAGACTATTTATAACTGACTTAATAAGGCCGTGAAAGTCAATTGTCAGTTGTATCGATAAAAAAACTGTTTCTTCACACCAACACAATTAATACTTCTAAAATATGACGACAACATCAGCACACACGCCTGAAGATGCGTGTTCTGATATGAGCTGTTTCCAGGAATCTGCGCTAAAGTAGAATTTATCTCAAGCTGTCCCATAACTCATAATAATCACAGCGCCACTCACCACACGACCAACAGCGACCGTCGGGCTCCTGAGAGGGAAGTCCGCTTGTTTTCCAACGTGGTCCCACCACACCGACGTACAGTAACAAATGGAGTGAGATTAATGGCATAGATGGGGGGGGGGGGGGGGGGGGCTTCAAAAGGTCCCCCCCTTCAAAAAAATAACTGGGGTTCCGCCCCCCGGAAGAACCCGGGGCCACAATTTTAAAGGCAAAATGGGGGGGGACCTTCATCTCTAGAGTCTCTATCACTTGCTCACCTGAGAGGAGAGGCGCTTGTGCCGCGAGATGGAACACTAAATGTTATTTAAAAGGGAGTCTAAGTTTTGCGATTTATATAGCTAGTAGTGTATTTAATATGAAGGGATGGGAAAATACATCCGACAATAACATGAAAGAGTATTGGACTATAATGATACCCGATTCTCTCAAGAGAATACATTCCATTCCACGTTTCCATGACTTTGGTTCATTTTCCTTCTTGCATCCATGGGGAAAAATACAAATGTGTAATATTTTAGGTGCCCTGACTACACCAGGAAGAATCACTAATGACTCATCAGTATTTATTACAACAGCATTATGTGACAGTGCTGAATGTTGGAATTCTTAAAAAAATCTTTTTTCATTGTTTTTTTTTTTACAGAGAAATACGTTATCTTGTCTTCAGTAAACACGATGGTCTTTTTAAGAGGTTGCGGGATGGGTACGTTGGATGACGGGGAGATGGCAACACGGGGTTGGAAGTGAGTAACGTTCAAACGTCGGCCGCTCACCGGCACGACCGGTTATATTTTATATTTATTTTAAATAAAATATTTAATATATTATATTTTGGTAAATAAATGTTTCCCTGATTCCTGGTTTTATCGGACAGTGGGAATGTTGTCATTGTCATTATTATTATTTTATTTTTTTACACTTAAATGTTTCAATCACGAGTTATTACAAACGCCATCCGGGGTCTGCACGTGAAGCCGAGCTCGGGAGATGAATTCCTACCGTCCCGTTAACCTTTGCGGCCCTGACAACCATTTCACCCTCGGACATGGAAGTAATAATGGAACTCATGTGCTCAATGTTTTGTCCATTTCCTCCCCGACCACATTCTGCAGAACACCAGCTGCTTGTGATTTGGACCGGCGGAAGCCATTGGGTTCAAGTGAAGGGAGAAGGGCTTTTGTGTTTGGCCACATCGGTCATGAAGAGTGGAGACAAGAACTTGGTAACTGCTTTGCTCTGCTCTCGTCCCTGTGGTTCTAAAGTCGGTGTCAGCGACTGTAGGAATGTACCAATTGTGCTGAGGCAGCCCCCGTTGTAAAGAAGTTTGGCTCGCGGACTATTAAACGCTGTGGTTAAACTTTGTCGTTTACTTTCACCAATCCAAAGTGAAAAGACGACACAATGAACTAACCCTCCACTTTGGAGGCCAAGTTCTCCCACAATGCTGCCAGGTGCACGCTGGCCTTCAGTCCCAATGGGTTTTGCATGAATTTATGACTAAAGGACTGTAAACCAAATGGACGAAATAGTTATAGAATACTTGAATATAAAAAGGCAATAAACCGCCTTTTTAAGACTTTAAAGAAATAGAAGCCGGTTTTGAACTCAAAGTCTTTAATGGGTCTTTCATGTTTGCTCGTCTTTCATCTCAACAGGGTATCCGTCAGTCGAGCCATCAAACCATTTGCGGAACCCGGGAGACCACCCGACTGGTTCTCTCACAAGGTGGGACAAAATCCGCGCCCCCCGCTCCACCCCAATGAGATCATCCATAACCACGTTTTCGTCCTGTCACAAAGCGGCTCTCTGTTCCTTTGTTCTCTGGCTCCTCACAGCACTGCGCCTCCAAGTACTCCGAGCTCCTGGAGACGGCCGAGGCCCCGAAGTGAGTGCCGAAGTGACCTTTACCTTTTTGTAGAGCTTACGCAGCTTTGTGCTCTTTGACACAACTGATGCGTCTGCACATGTCGCCTCCAGGCAGAAGTGCGGCGCCGGAGGTGAAGTGGTGGAGACGGCGAAGGACGTGATGGTCCGTCGCCTGACGGCCGACAGGGTTGATGCACTGAGAGAGCTGATCAAGGAAACACAGGAGAAGCACAGGTGCGCACCTTTGACTTTTAACGGTCACCGTCATCGTGAATAAATCACAGCCTGCGAGATCAATGAGGTTGGTCGGTGTGTGTGTGTGTGTGTGTATGTGTGTGTGTGTGTGTGTGTGTGTGTGTGTGTGTGTGTGTGTGTGTGTGTGTGTGTGTGTGTGTGTGTGTGTGTGTGTGTGTGTCTTCATAGGAAGCTGAAGAGGGAAGCTGAGCTGATTCAAGCAGGATGTCTAGATTCCAAACTAGAAGAGTTATGGGGAGACATCCTGCAGTAAGGAACAACAAACTCTCCATTTGTCCTATTTTAAACCATCACAACGCTCAGACGTTGGAGTCTATCTACAAACAAGCCAAACAAATATGTGTGTAACCTGTGTGTGTGTGTGTGTGTGTGTGTGTGTGTGTGTGTGTGTGTGTGTCCGGCAGGAAGAAGAAACTGGAGGAGAAGGAAGCCGAGCTGAAAAGAAAAAACACAAACACTGCTTATAAGGGTATCGCCTTCGCTTTCTCGTGTGTTTGTGTGTCAGTTATTCTTGCATCTAAAATCTTTTGGTGTGTTTTTTTGTACAAATGATCCATCATCCAATATTAGCAACTGTAAGCATTGTCCCCTTTAGTCTCAGTAGGCTTATTGGATTCGGTGGCATTAGTCGTTCTAAATGAATCTTCCACTGTAGCGTCATGAACATCAGCCTGTGTGACCGACGAGGTAATCCTCCCTATGCTGCCCCCTCCCTCTTCCAGCCAGACGGGTGGCAAAGAGCACACCCAAGCCAGAGCCCGGCATCCCCGTGCACCCGCCCTCCGGCTGCAGCGCCCCAGGACAGGTGTTCTCACCAGGTGACCCGCCGGAGTGTTTGACGCTGGATCTCGCGTTGACGAAAAATGTAAGTCGCCGTAAGTTGAAAAGCATTTGATGTTCGCACTACGTGAATCTCCATTTCCCTCAAGGACATTGTTGTGCTCATTGAAAACATGATAACTGTTATATACGTATATGTGTATGTGTATATGTGTATATATATATGTGCGTATATATATATATATATATATATATACATATATATATATATATATATAATATTGAACCGCTAGAAGTAGCTTGCTGTGACTAAGGTTTAAAAGTAATTTTTATTAAAATTTGACTTAATTCAAATAATAATGATTATAAATCACAAATTAAAGAAACTAGATCAGAGAAGGTCAATGAAAGCATTCTTTTATTGGTTTTGGTAATGCAGCATCAGTGTTTCCCCTACCATTATAACAGGGGCGTCCCCCCCACCCTTCTGAAAAAAATGTGCAATTTCTCGGCCGAGAGAGTGACTACCCTGCTGCCCCGACTAATACCCCCCCCCTTCTTCTACCTCCCTGTCTCCAGCCTTCGGGGTCGGCCAGATTAGCGGCGATGGCCGAGTCTTCTGGACCAGGGAACGTCGGCCCCGGGTCGCTTCTGGATGATCCCGCCCAAAGGAAGCTCCTGAGCCAGAAGGCCACGGCGCCGCCGTCGCCACTTCTGTCCGAGTTACTGAAGCAAGGCAGTATCTTGGCCACACATTCCAGACTGGTATGTGGAGGGGACTTACTGTGTTATGCCAACAGTGCCGAGCTCTCTAATTGACGTGTCCAAGTCTGCGGGGCGCCTCATCTTCATCTCATTCTTTGCAGTAACTGCACGTTAAGGAACTATTTATTCATTTTTTATATATTTATATATATATATTTTTGTTGTTTTGGAAGTTATTGGTTGTTTTGCCAGTTGCATAAAACCCTTTGTCATTTTTCTGCTATTGCATTGTGATGTGTTGGTTTTTCACCTCGGATATCTCTGTGTCCTTAGATTTGTTCAGTTGCTTGTGGTGCTCATGTGAACAGCGGCCTCCAGTTAATTCCACGCCCCTTTGAATGTGTTTTTTTAGCTTTGCTACACAAGGTCAATAGTAGTCCTGTATAAAAGCATTGCTGTGTTCTGAATACAGTATGTTCCTCTTTCTTTGTCCTGTTATTACCTCTATCTGTGGTCTAATTCTCTCTGAATATTTGACTAGTGTACCAGTGTTTTTTTGGAAACAAGTTTACTGTTTTTTGGCAAACCGGTGTTTCCATCCTACAAAGAGGCTGTACAACTGAATCGGTTCATTTAGTCAACTTTGCTTTCTTGAAACGATTTGACTTGAAAAAATAAACTGTAACGTATCGTATGAAGGTTAACAGGTCACTAAATATATTTTGCAATTGTTTTTTAATACTCTAATCGTGTTGGTTTTTGTGTCCCGCCTCTCCTCACTATGGCTTAAGAGTTCAACGTTGGCCTGAATGCATCACAGAATCTTTCCACTCCTACTTTCTCAGTTTTTTTTATAATTTTTTTTTGCCAAACTGCTAACACGCAAACTGCCTTTGCTTCCAGGGTGCTGTCAATTACTTCTCTTTTTTTTTTTTTTTTTTTCCCTCCAAAGCTTTTTGTCAGATGTCTGCATGGGGTTCCGTGTGATTTGATTTCCCATTGCAGCCGGCAGCAGACCAGAGTTCATCTTCAACGGTTGCCAGCAGAGTTTCCTCCTGGAATTGTCCAGCTCATATCATGTTTTTTCGTCATTTCCACCCCCCATGAAGCCATGAAACTGTGCTCTTGCGAAATCCCGTCGTCTCAGACCGAGTTATCCTTTTCTAGATCTTTCCCTCCTCGCATTCCTCAGATAACGTGTTCCGCTCAGGACATGCAGCGCTGCCTTCACGGCTCTTCTGGGATAAAAATTTCTCTAGCGGGATTCCGAGTCAGATTGTAGTAACAGACTCTCGCTATAAAATTGCATTTTTTAATAAGATTTGATGAAGTAATACCTTTTTTTTTTTTTGTCCAAGAAAACTGGCAAAATGTTTGACATGCATGTATGCGCTTACATCCCAGATTGGGGAGGGGGACGTGACCACTGCTAATGTGACAGGAGCACATGACTTGCAGCTGGCTCCACCTAGACAACCTCTCACTCAGGCAACAGGTACAAACAGTGATTTGTGTTCATGGCCTTAGCGGAAATGTTCACGTAACAAGTAACAACCAAAAAGAACATGTCACCAAACGTATTTGACTGAAATGAGATTTCATCCAAATCAAGATATTTAGTAGAATTCTCTGCGGGCACAGAAAACTGATATGATAAAAGGTTGCATGTATTTCTGTAGTCGCTCACTTTGAATCCTTAAATGGCTGTTTGCTCACACGGCGTGCGCTCCTCTGTCCCCTGCGCTGTCCCCTGTGTGTCCGTGTCCATGGACGCTTGCACGGCAGGCGCCCCGATGCTGTCGCATCTCCTGGAGGCGGGTCCCGCCCAGTTTTCCGCCCCGTTAGCTTTCGTGGTCGCGGCCTCCAGCGCCGCCCCCACCTCTGCTGCCCCGCCTGTGTCTGTTGACTCCACGGCTTCGGCAAACACAGGTCCGTCCGCTTTGACCCAGACGCACGCGAAGCTCGATGCGCGCGTTGACCCCTCCTTGCATCCTGAATGGGACATTCTGGGTAGCTTGAGAATTGTTTAATGTAAGACCTACAGTTGTTTTAATTACAAAATGATGGATGATGAGCTAGATGTTCTGTGAGGTAAAACTAGAAAAGGACTGTTTTTACTAACTGCTACTCCTACTGCCGCTAATTTAAGTCGTTTGTGTGCAGAGAGGCCTTTGCCCCCTGGATGCCGGCCTGTCGACGGCGAGGACAAGGTGGCGGCGCTCGGCCAGGGGGACGCGACTGTGTCCTACGTGGGGGATGGGCTGGACCTGAAGACGGTGGGGGACATTATCGCCATCATTAAGGGCGAGGTGAAAATTTTCACGGCAGTATTTGTAACTACAGACGCTCTTCAGACTCTGACTAAAAAATACTAAACAAATACTGCTAAACTATAGCATTTAAAAGCCATTATCAGTACAATTTATCTAATGGCAAGTTGTAAATCGGCTTATTTGATGAAATTGCACTTTCTTGTTCTGAGTTTGTATCCTTATGGTTTAAATGCACTTATTGTAAGTCGCTTTGGATAAAAGCGACTTATGTAATATTTGTGATCAACGATAGATGTTATTTTATAACTTTTTCATTTTGGTCATTAATCTACTTCTAGTAAATATGAAAATAGTTTATTTTGAGATTTATCAGACTGGAAATGTCAAACTATGGAAAAAAAAAAAAAAAGAGTTTGATAGCTCGACCGTTCTTTAAGATCAAGAGTCTCTTCTCCAACAGACAGACGTGACCTCGGAGGCTTTGGACGCGCAGTCCCTGTGCGAGGAGAACGGCCGTGCTTTGTCTGGCGCCGGGGGGCCGGGGCCTTTCCACCCCCGCGGCTCGGTGCCCACGGGGGTCCAACAGGCCTCGTCTCCTCACAGCAGCCCGCAGGGGAAGACGGAAGTGTTGGAAGCACACGGCGGGACTCCAGCTTCGCCCTCCTCTCTGTGCATCAGTCGAAAGCGCGGCCTGGCGGCATTCCCCATGGGGCCGGGGGGCCTTCCTCGCACCCCCTCGTCCTGGAAGAGCTCACAGCAGCACCGCGCTGGTGCGCCTCCACAGCCTCAGGCAATGAGGGGGGCCGGAGTGTTGGCGCGACAGAAAAGTCGCATTTCATCGGATGTTACTCTGAAACGTGAGAGTGGACCCGGACCCCCCCGCGACGGTATGCACGCATCAGGATTCACTTGCTTGAGAACATGCTTCTTGCGTAACCATTTCCTTCTTGCTATTCTCCTTGGACTTATCTCTGCAGACTCTGTAGCAGAAGACGGCCCGCTGACAGCGTGGCGCCCGAAGGTACGGCAAACGGACGCGTCGCTTGGAAGGAAACACGGAGCTCGATGCTCCGTTTGAAACTTCTGCCCCCCCCCCCTTCCTTCGCAGGGGACGACAGCGGTGACGGAAGCACGCGGAGGCGGCGAGGCCGACGGGGCGGAGGGATGCTCGCCGGGGCTCAGCGACAGCGAGGACAGCTGCAGCCTCCACGCGGCCTCCTCCTCGACTCCTCGGCTCCACGCGGCGCCGGACTCCGCCCCCAGCAGCCCCGCCTCGTCACAGTTGTGAGTGAACACGCATATTCGCACGAAAGAGGGCGGCAAGAGGGTCAAGAAGTTTCTTGCCGTGCTGCTCACCACTGTGACCTACCTTGTTTGCACGCCTTCCACACGTGGCGTGCAGTTCGGTTTGCAGCGACGACCACGAATCTCTGCAGGCTCACAAGATGTGGAAGAAAGCCATCATGCTGGTGTGGCGTGCGGCGGCTAATCACAGGTCAGAGTACGGCGATGACCCCCCGGCCCCACGATCACCAGCCATCTAATAAAAGGGAATTCTATACATAGTTTCTGAAACCGATGTCATGTATGTGACTTGTTGTAGGTATGCAAATGTCTTCCTGCAGCCAGTAACTGATGACATTGCACCCGGGTACCACGGTATTGTACAGAGGTAAGCACAGTATTGTATTATAGAGGTAAGCACAGGACATATTTTTAGCTTTTTTTTCCTTTTCACCTATAGTTTTGTTTTGTGGTCAATTGTCATATTAGTCGCGCAGAGTGAAAATCTGACATCACACAAAAGTAAACTTTTCACGCGGTGATAAAAGCCAACTTGTTTTTGCTGTATCCCATTGGATCACTGCCATGCGACGTCCCTCCGACCCGCTCTTTGCGCTCCCCCTACAGGCCCGTGGACCTTGCCGCCATAAAAAAGAGCATTGAGGCCGGTTTGATACGGAACACGGCTGAGTTCCAGAGGGACATCATGCTGATGTTCCAGAACGCGGTCATGTACAACAGCCTGGATCACGACGTGAACCACATGGCTCTGGAGATGCAGCGCGACGTCTTGGAGCAGATCCAGCAGTTTCTGGCCACCCAGCTCATCGTGGAGACGTCCGAGTCTGGCACCAGCGGCAAAAGCCTGAGTGGCCGCGAGAGCAGCCGCAAACAGGACGCTCCTGACGAGGTGCTTTACTAGATTTTGACAAAGAGTGCAGAAGACGAGACAAGGGTGAGACAACGGGCTGACTTTAAGGTAGAAGAGTAAATCTGTGGCATAGTAAGTAAGTACGTACGTAAAACCTTTTATCAGAGGTCAACTTTTTTTCTTCTTCAATACAACAATCCGTCAATGTCACAATTTGTTTCTGACTTTCCCACCTTAGTTAATGAATGCAAAACCTCATCTTTGGAATGCATTGAAAGTATTACATTGTTCACTGTGGTGAATACTGAATTCTTGCAAAAACATACAGCCAATGTAATATGTTTATATTCTACCTTCAAGAAAGCTGTTAACCATTATATACAACAGTGATTTCTGACCCAATGAATCACAACTCATACATAGTCACATGAATTTGCATTATTTCTGATCACAGAAACAAAGTATCTTCAAAACGACTACAATACCGCCCTTAAATACCGTGACATTGACTCTGGTTGCTGGAAGAGCGGGGAAATAAGATTTTCTTTAGACGTGAGGTATTTTTCACATTCTGTCCACTGGGACTAAAGCACCTAATTGGCTGTTAAAGTATCTGCAGCACAATCCTCCTAAATATTTCAAAGACAAAAGAAGCTGGTACAAAGCAAGTTCTCAGTGGCAGATTGGATGTTTCATAGCGAACTGAGACCAGGTGTTGAACATCATCCTATGCTTTTAAAAACGGTTGTGTGTGTGTATATACTGTATGTATGTAGTATTTAGCTCAGGAGCTTAAAGTGGTTCATTTTCAAAAGTGGCCCAATGTATATATTTACATTCATCCGCTTCTATTTCCTTCGGCTGAATAGATTCTGTTCCGTACATTTGCATCATTTTGCTTCCTTGTTAGACTTTAAATGCTTTTTTGCGTCTCAGCGCTGACGTGCATCCTCCTCCTCCTACAGGACGCCGTCTCCATGTCCTCTCCGGCCTTCCTCCTTTCTCTTTTTGTAAGTACCCGTCCTATATTTTTAAAACCACCCATTACTTTCCAACCTCCCGAAGCAGACAGCGTTAAAGAAAAGCAATATCCTGTTTGACGTGTAGACGTCTTGAACATGAAGTTCGGTCACACATTGATGTGGTCAGGTGCTCTGATTTTCTTTCTGATCCCGACTGCAGGATGGAGGCACCAGGGGGCGCCGTTGTACCGTTGAAGCTGACCTCAAGATGAAGAAATGAACATGCAGTACGACAGTTGTATTCAGTAATGTTCCCGAGTAGAACCCAAAGATGTGAAACCAACGGACTGAAGTTATTCCGTTAGTGCCACAGACTCTCCCCTCCCTAAAAGGCAGAGTCACTTTTATTTGCACTCGAGAGGAAATATACTGTCATGTGGACAATCTCCTTTCCTACGATACAGCCGCACACACCTGGATTACATACGGTATAATCCCAGATTACAATGGGTCAGGAAGGAAATGGTCAAACCTCCTGTAGGAGTAGCTTCAGATCACTTTTCGGCTGCTCTGAATTACATCAGGTGGTTTACTGTAGAGGAAGAGACTCCAACCCTACGCATTGACTGAATTAAGTGTTCATGAGACCTGGTATGTACTTCAGATTAGTGTGGTTGAAACATTCCATGTTGCTGATGAAATGCATAAACTGAGGCCAAAGAGTCTGAAGGTAGAATTGGAGAATGATCAGGGGGGGTCGGGGTTGCACAATCATTAAAAAAAAATTAAGTTTACAGTTAAACTCTCAAATCATGTTTGAACGTATCTATATTGTTTGTGTAGGATTGATTTTATTAAAAGGTGCAGATTGTGTTATTTTCAGTATTTGAGAAAACGTCCTGTTAAAAGTTTTCTGGACTTTTAAAGATAAAAAATAAAATGTCATAAAAAGCTCTTTCCAGCATGTTAAACTTGAATTGGCTCCTTTTATCCACCATCTAAATCAGTAACTTCCAGTGGGAAACTCAAATAGCTGTTTTGTACCAGCTCAGAGGATCACGAGCGCTGCATTATGAATAAGTTCCAGTGTTTTCTAAGGAATCCGTCCTTAGGTGGACATGTCTACACGCAGACGGGACAAAGCGTCCTTTCACGTCTTTTCAATCCAGACATCCGTAACCGATAAACAGGACTGAATGTATTTTAGTTTGATATGTAGTCATACAGGAGAATAACGTTGTACGTGCAGCAGGTCAGACTCCTGAGGAAGTACTTTGCAATAGATTCCACCTATTATTTATCTCAAGTAGAAATATTAGATTTAATTCCTAGTCCCACTGTGAAAAAGATACTCTGATCGGTAGGATCATGTTTATTCATCTAATGACGATGTTGTGGAACAATAATAGATGGATACGTGTCACCTGATTCTTTTCATGTGACCAAACAAAGCATTCAGTTAAACCGCTAACAAATCAGACAGGACGGAACATATTCAGATTACATCTTTAATTTACAGGTGTAATTTGGCTAAAAACTGTTTATTCTTTAATGTTGCTCAGAGGTACGACAACCACGGCTTGATACCAAAAACCTGGATTTCTTTGCGTTTACATGTTTTGAGTTGCAGTGTAGACCTGAATATTCTAGTCCATTAACATTTAGTGTCAGTAGTCTCGAAGATGAGGTTTTTGCTGAAAAACAAAATAAGTGACTAAGAAAAACACTCCTTCACTAGGATGCATGCAACAGGAAAAATAGGGAACACAGGATTGAACGTTAACTTAAAAAGTGCTTGTGATGAACCTGAATGCTGTGTGAGAACAGCAAAGGCGGTTTGGCAGTCTGAGTGCACAGAGACGAGAATCGGTGTCTATGTAGGGTCCGAATAATGTGTGGACGGTGCAAAGACACCCCCACGAGGTCAGCCTCCTACACATGACAAAAACCGATGAGTAAAAGTTTAAAAAAAAAAAAAACTTCTGTCGGGGATGAGAACAAAATGATTATTCTTTATAGAACAGTATCAATGAAAGGGTACTCGGGCCGAATAATATTCTAATACAAAACAAAATGAGGCGAGCTTCTGCGGGAGTTGGGGAAAAGAAGGTTACACTGGAACAGTGGACGGCCTTTAAAAAACGTCTTAGCCAACAGTCGTTTCTCTCAAACCTCAAACGTGAGCCCGCAGCTGACGTACGGAACAACTTCCTGAGTGGAAGCTGACGGACCAAATATACGCCGATGCTGCTACAGCAGCAGACGGCTCGTATTGGAGACTGCAACCGTCTACAATCAGAAAAACAAGCTCACGATTTGTTAAATTTTACTGCCACGTGCCTCCTATTGCTATAGTCTCAAAGTACAAATTGTTTGATTAAAAATGAATAAAAGATCCTCTTATTTCACAGTACAGAACTGTCCAAAGACTACAGTACTACATTAGTCATTGTATTTTTTTCCTATACAAAAAAAAGATTGCTTGGGCAACAGTCCCTCCCTTAACTATTAAATAACATCTAACGTTTCAGCAAGGACACAAAAGCATGAAAGAAAATAAATACACGTAAGGGAACGGATTAAATGTGTGCGAGTGAACATGCTACTGCCTTCGTAACCCCAAAGGGAGACCCCTTACGTCATGCCATTTCTATAAGAAAGTTTAAAGGCTCCGAGACATTGTGCACACCGCCACAGCGAGTGTGCACTTGTTGCTGCCGCCGCCGCCGCCGGCCCACATGCAACTCCATTTCCTCCCATCGAAGAGGAGAGAAGGCACATTGTTTCCTGTGGCATAATCTCCCCCTGTGTGCACTGTACCTTTAAGAGATTCCTTTTACAAAGTGGCCTGGATTGGATAAATTTGCACACTTTGGATAACATTGTATTAATTGTACAGTCTGTACTGAAACGTGTTCTCCTCTCATATCGCTTCTCATTTGCCCCTCTGGCGCCCGACCAATCGATGCAGCTTGTCACAGTTGTCCAGCCTCATCGACTCGGCCTTCTGCTTTAACCGCTCGTCTCGGTACAGTTGTCCCAGGTTTGCCAAGTCAGATTCTGCAAAGGCAAAAAACAAGGACACATCACAATGGTCGGTACACCTATTAGTTAATATCATGTCCGTGTGGTAAATATGAAGCAACAGCCAGTTAGCTTAGCCTTGCATAAGGAAACGGATGCAAAAAAATACAATTAAAAAGTAGCCTGGCCCAGTCCAGCGGTTTCAAATTCTGCATGCCAGCAATATAAATCTTAGGTAGGACTAGTTGCTACAGCCAGAGAGTGATTTGTTTTAGCCCGGTGAGCCGCCCGCTTACTTTGCTGTTTCTCTTTCCAGCAGCTGTTCTGCAGATGTTCGATATAGTCGCTCTCAATGGTTTTCTCTAGTTCATCCAGCGCAGCTCCTCGGTACTCCTTCTCAAAGCTTTTATCCACATAGTACGGTACACCCATGTGCTGCGTTTCTCTGGAAACCACCAGCCCCATGGCCCTGTAACCGCCCCAACCCACCAAAAAGATAAAAAAAATATACTCTGGTGAAACGATGCTGTCGTCCAAGACAGAACGCGAGGCATTGCTCAAACGTCTCTGTAAGAAGGCTAATGGCGCCGCAGACTCACGGCTTATAGAAGAGGCTGTAGGGCGGGTTAGTGGCCATCATCTGGGTGAACACTGATATGAGGATGAGCATCAGCACAGGGAGAAGCTGCAGCAGCGCGGTGAAGGTGTTCTGTGGGACGATACAATCAGCACAGATTACAGAACGCACACAATAAGGCGCGTAGGCCGCGCTGATTCATTCCGGAAAAGGCACAGTGCGCCTTTGAGGCGCCTCAGTTATGTGCAAGGTAAATGAACGGCATGAAAATCAATCAGTGTGGGAAACGTTCTATAAACAAACAAAAAAAATGAAAACGTTGAATTCCTCGAATGCGTGTTAATGATTAGAACACAAGCGGATCTCTGCAGGAGGACACGGCGCTGCAGTTGGTGAACGGGGATCTGTCTGGTGCACGTTGTGTGAGTCACCGACCTGACTCTGGTTGTTGTTGTTCTCCTCCACCACCTCCTCGCGCCTCTCAAAAGCGCGTCGACGGCGAGGCTGATAGAACTGCGAGTAGGAGGCTCCCTGGTTGGTGTACACGTGGATGTTTCCTGGAAGGACGCACACGCTTCTTTAGACTCTAGACTTCCACAATAAGACGGCGAATAATGGCCATACACTGTAATGCTTAAACACACACCTGTAGGAAATCTTCCCCCGAAGAAAATATTGAAGAGCTCCTCGGGGGAGATGTCGGCCTCAAAGTCTCTGTGGAAGCTTCGGTGGTATCCATGGCGACTGTGGGCGGAGGGTTGGGGCGCACTCGAAGCTGCGGATTGATCTCCGTATTGATCATACTGCTGCCTCTTCTCTGGATTGCTCAGCACCGCGTATGCATTGCCTATTGCTGTTGGAAGAGAAGGGAAACGGTCGGTCGTGGCATTCGTTAAGTCGGGAGAACACGGGCACCGATGATGGAGGGCGGCATGAAATAAAATAAGTGTCATCTTTATATGGATTCAGTTAGCTGGCAGTTTGCCGATATTTGTTCCGTTTCGGCACCATCACACTTCTGCTGAATTATTGTGTACTACGTATGTACTCACAACTTAACTTTATTTTTTAATATTATTAAGGACCTTCTTATTTTCAATGTTTACAAGGGGGACGTTTTGTGCAATGAGATTCTCCTCGGAAAGTGTACGTGCCAATAAATTTAGAAATACGTGCGCCTGTTCTGAGTGGTCAGACTTTGCACGTCGCTATGACTCAGAGGGAAAATATCTATCTTTGGTGCAAATTCCAAGTACTGGTTTTAACGTTTAACTGCGTTGATGAGTGGCCATGAACTACTGCAACAATCTTTCCGCTGTTTCTTAAGACACCTGCGTGCACCTGGCCCTTTCAACTCATGCAGTAATCTTCAGCCTCCCCTACACTCACGGCTGGAAAATCCCTGCCATCGATGAATACAAACAGCTCAAGAAAGAATTTCTCAACCCAAATGAAAGCAGGACAGTTGCACGATGCACCTTAAAGCCTCTGCCCTGCTGAGGCTTGTTTAAACATGACGCTGGGAGCGTCCGGGCGCTGCTCTTGAACTGACCATGACCTCTGACTGGGCTGCGAGGTGGACACTGAGAAGAAGAATTTCCTCTGTGGGATCAGGAGAGGCTCGTCATTATGCAAGGATAGTGCTTAATTATTCACATGATTATAATAAAGTACCCCCCCCCTAAAAAAGGGATTAAAAAGAAAATACAATGGTAATAATAGGAGCAATAGGAAGGTTCCTCTGTCAAAACTCGTACCTTTGAACGCATCCGTGGCTCCCGGAGCGAAGTTCTTGTCGGGGTGAAACTTGAGGGCCAACTTCCTGTACGCCTTCTTCAAATCTTCATCACTGGCATTTTTGGTAACACCGAGAATCTCATAAAAGTCCTTGCAATTCTTTATCCTGCAACAAAAAAGCAACATGGACTTAAAAAAAAAACCAGAACTCCCCCCTCCCCCTCAAGCTCCTAGAGGGTTAATGAGTATTCTACGGTTAGTTAGTTAGTCACATGTGCATTGTTGCATCGACAGGTCTTGGGGGTACCGGCAAAGCTAAATCAATTACTGTAGCTGTACTCGGGGCACATGGAACAGCTCTCTAACCAGCGTCTGACCACTCCAGAGTTCATCCGGAGCATGTAAACCCGGCCAAAGCTATAAAACCACTCGGCACCGCTCACCTGAGAACACCCTGCCGTTGATCCTCGGTGTAGCTCTTCTTTTCATCGCCGACTACGTTTCTCGTTCCATTGCTCCTGAAGTCCTCGTCCGCCCAGCCCGACGGCGGAGGCACGTGGTCGGCCTGCGGGGCAGCGGTGCCTCCGTTCCTCAATATGGCGTCTATCAGCACTGCAAGCAAAACAACGCGGCTGAGGTCCACTGACAATTCAGGCGGGAGATGATGGAGAAAGGCTGAAACGCGGCGACGACAGAGATGCGTACAGTCGGGCATTGACATTCAGATGAAATACACATAAAGAGGCAAGTAGTAGTTGACCAGGCTCCAGAACAGCTGCATTGCTCCTAGACATAAAAGATGCAAAACAGAAACATCTTAATGGACTTTTTTTTTCTAAAAACCTATTTGGTGTTTTGATGACACTGAAGCTCCCAAAACCTCCCGTTGGTGTTAAGATCTGGCAAAGTTAAAGGCCAAAGTATTTGATTGGCATAAGTTCCATACTGAACATTCAGTGAGTGGAGAGATTTGATATACATTGATTGTCAGGCTTTTCATCCATTCCGTACTAGAGTGGTATTTACTATGAACTGTACAACATGTGCACACTGCTGTCATGTGTCACTACGTGTGCACACTGCTGTCATGTGTCACTACGTGTGCACACTGCTGTCATGTGTCACTATGCGTGCACATGCTACATGTGTCACTACGTGTGCACACTGCTGTTAAATGGACCTTGTGACATTTCACTGCCTCCTGCGCGTTGCGTTCAAGGAGCTCCGGGTAACTTAACGATCCCCGTGATGATGATGCCGTTATCGCAAAGACATATTCAAAACACAGCCCTGCCTCAGAGTAAACGGCACGGAGGGGCCCTTAGGAGCTCTTAAGTCCATGCGTTCAGCCCCCACAGATATTAAGTATTAACGCCGGATAGCTGACGTTTGTCTCTGCTTCTAAAAATACACATGAATCGCAACCAACCTGAAATCTGTGAATAGATCTGCGGTGTAATACATGGCATTAGTTTCTCATGCGCTTCGACCAACGTTGCGCTGCCACTGCGGAATGTGCTTCAGCTAATTTTACCTCTGGCCCGGGTGCTCGGGTGAATATTCTGGGCTTCGTACAGCAGCTGCAGCGCCCGGTCTGTCCGTCCTGACCGTAAACACAGCTTCGCCTTCTCTATCAGCCGGTCCGCCTCTGCTTTGTCCATTTTGTGATGTGTTTTCGCGGCAACAGGAGAGATGCGTCGCCCGGGTCCGGTTCCCCCCGGCTCTGGGAGTCTCTTTCCCCGCAGGAGGGGGTTGGGGGGGGGGAAAACACGCGTCGATATCAAACGGCCCCGAAGCGAGCCGTTACAGCTAACGCTCGGTAGCTCCGGCTAGCTTCGGTTTCAGACAGCTGCGTAACGTTAGCAAGGGCGCGAGCCCGCAAGAGCCCGTCGCACTATTCGACTTGCGGACGACGGCGGTTGCTGTCAGGCTGCGGACGGACCTGCAGCGGGGCCATTTTTTATTTTTCCTTTTTATTTTTTTCAAGTCTGAAAGATGGAGTGTCCTTTGCTTAGCGGTGTTTTAAAATTAAAGGGCCACCCTGTCAAATTAAAAGCGGACCTCCTGAGCTGTGACGGACAGGAGGTGGAGCCAAATACGTCATATCCTGGAATGGGAAGTGTTTTATAATCTGGAAAAAAGGGAATTAGGTCCTGAAATTGGGTCTAAACTATATTGACCTTTTTGGTGCTCTGTTTCTTTGCAAGTTAGTCAAATTTGTTTATTCCATCCTATTGCTTTTTCCTTTCATTTTCTTCTGTACCCAGAAAACCAAGCAGGTTGAGTATCACCAGCATGTGTATGATGCTGCAGCAATTAAGGTCGTTCAATAAAAATAGAATAAGCAGAATAATCAGAAATCCGGTATGTTATGGATCTTTTTATTAGACCACCGTACTTTACATTTGGCCTGAAGGGATAACATTACCAATGTCTCATTTACATTTTGAGGCACATCTGAATCTGAGTTTTTTTGTCAGATGTAATGTGTAATGATTTTGATATCTCTTAAATGTAGTAAATGAAGCCAAGACGTTGTATCGTGATTTGAGTCAAGGTAAAAATTGAAATTAGGATTAATATGTCCGGCAGAGAGATAGAAATAATGCAACACATTTTTGTTCATGCATATTTTATTCAAGAGTAAAAAAATGTGATTTGTCCCATAGGGCATGCTTACAATGTGTGTATCATTTAGGAAGTCAAATGCCAAAACATATTTCCATAGATAATAAAAAACGTTGCAAGATAAAATCCATTATATTTGTTTGTTGAAATATGCATGTAGACCATACAAGAACCAGAAACAGAAGAGGAAAATAACCATGAACTAATTTGTAACAATAATAATATCAGCAGTAAATATAACCAAAGTACAATGTTTCCTGTTAAACGTAAGTGTGACACGGGATTTTCTTAGTGTCCAATTCATTTAAATCTGAAAACCATGCTATCATGCTTTTGCAGCCTGAAAGTTGCTTTTCACTGAGATTATATTCATTCACACTATAGAACAGTTTCTGTACATCAGTACAACAGAAACAAATAAACACAAGGCTTCATACTTTAGAAGGGCATCCCTGCATACATTAAATCAATATAAAATTAAAAGCAGTGGTAATAAATAACTAAATAAAAAAATGGACAAAAACAATCAAAGGAAGCCTATTTATAAAATTTATAAAACAAGACAAATAAAACTACAAATGTAATTCAAAAATAAAAGAATTCAAGTTTACTATTTGAAATACAACTATCACAATTATAATCTCACATAACAATTAGGAACTTAATTGCATGCATTGATGCGTTCCATACCATAGATGCTGTGTTAAAAATCACTATCTGTCCATTCTTAAATTCACATACCTTTATGATTTAATAGAAACATGAAATATAAAGTAGAAAAAATATTTATGTGTGAAGGGAAATTCTAGAAATTTATGTGGTAGTAGGCTTGAAGTTTGGCCTTGACTGTATCAACCTCCCCTAAAGAATTATTTTTAAAGAACTAGAACATTTTCTGTTTTAATTTAGTTTATTTACTCTTCTTCTATCAGGCTTTTGGACTTTACATTTGATGTTGTATGTGGATCACAGTGTGGGTGTACTTTGTCAAGTTTTAGTCATGCCTCGTTCCTCATTACACTGTACTGCAAAATCAGATTAGAAACATAATTTTAAAACAAGAAATTGTATGCAGTGTGCACAATTTGATGCAATGTGGGTGGACTAATAACGCCAATGCCTGGTCTAAACTATGCTCAGATTCAATAGAGGAAGTACTTCTGACAAGTTTAAACTAATCCAAGATCAGGTTCAGTGAAAAACAAATCGATTCAAAATGACACTTGGGTGTTTGGGTTTTAATTAAATGATATTTCAAATATATGCATTCACAAATTTGTAGAATTTCCCTCTCCCTCTGACATAGTACTTTTGCTCTTATGCATGAGATCTCATTGAATTTGCAGCACAGCAAATTGTGCAATAACTCAAAGGGCGCTAATGTATTATTTTACTTTGTACTTTAGCAATAAGCAGGTGACAAAATAACCATGTGTGACAGCAGGACATGTCCAAAAGTTAGACACAACCTTTTCCCTCTGCGGTGCAGAAACGTCCGTTAATGCCGCGTTGTTGCCATAGTGACACAGAGGAGACGAGAAAGGACTCCTGCAGTGGAGGATGCTCGGGTTTATACTCTCCAGAAAGTATGAGGTATAGCTTGATCAAATGCCATGCTTCTTAAACGTTTAATGGAGAAGGAAGAAAATGAAGTTAAGAATGAGCCTGGAGGCAAAAATAAACCTTAGACATTCGATCCGGGTTTCATCAAGCTGCATCTTAATATTGGATAGTGTTGACCCTTTTAGAGGCCAGATTAAAATGTTTGAAATGTATCATGGTGTGATAAATGTTTGATCAAATAGTACCTATGGTGAAAACAACATTTCCAAACGCTCCTTTCATCCCCTCCCTTTCTTCCCTCATCCCCTCCAAGTTACTTCTAGCTAGGAGATGACTGATCATGCGGGGAGGAGAGGAAAGGAGACTAGTGAAACGTATCCACGGACCAGTTTGATCTCAGACTGTCGTCCTTCTTCTGCAGGATGATGGCATCTTACTAGAGGGCATATAAATAAAAAATAATTCCACTGCTAAGACTTCACTGTTTCGGCTGTTCAAGTTTTTTAAAGTGGTCCACATTTAGCTTTCTTTCTTTCTCACAAAGTGATGTGACTTTTTAATACAAAACTTGTAGGCAAAGCAGAATCTTTTTCCTCATGAGGGGAATTAGTGAGTGATATATAGTAAACACTTTATAAAACGGTAACATGAATTGTGTGGCTTGGATACTGCAATTATGCCCTCTGTCGGGCCCCGTGATGAAGCAGCAGACACTTGTCAGCAGTCAGAACAACACAACCCCCGACGATTCAGCCTGTAATTGAACTGAGAAAGGGAACAACAGGCAGAAACAACTTTCAACCGCACTTTCAGTCAAGCTGCAGCCTTCTGGTCTCTCCTCACCCCGTGCTCTCTGCTGTGAACCCCGGCTCCCCCTCAACCCCTCCTCCCCCTCCCCCAACTGTGCAGTGACATACTGTCATGAAAAAAATGACCTTTTTTCGCCCGTTTTAGTTTTGCTGCAGATTTTCATGTTCTGTCTGTGGGCCTGGTTTATTTCTATGTTCTGAGGCCTGAATTCACGTTTTGGCAATGTCTTGCTGCACAGCGCAACAGCTGCACGGTTCTGAGGCTCAGACAGCACATCACTGGATGTTGCTGTTGTCATCCGTGCCGTTCGCCTCGGACATATTCATCTTCCCCAGGGAGTGATCCACGTGGTTCACCCCGTCCTTGCGGGGTGGCATGCGTTCGTTGATGCGGTCGAGGCCCTTGGCCTCCTCAAAGCTGGCAATCTTGTGCTGGGGGGAGAACCCACGGATGGCTGAAAGGAAAAAACACACGTAAAGGTGTCAGGCTCACCTTGCAGTGGTGCAGTCTAAGAAGAATCTTGATAAATATATGTATATATATATCATATAGTTCTGCCCCTAAAATATTATTTCTAGTTTACATCCTATGTACATATTATGTGCCGTTCAGCTATCACTGCAATTTGAGAACTAAATGACTCCTTGTTTTGCCTACAACAATATAAAATGTCCCAAAACTGAGTTGTAAAAGTCCTTTCCTGCACACGGCAAAGGAGTTGAAGGGAAAGGAGCAGCTTTTTTTAAGTTTTGGGAGGCAACATTGACATCAGCATGTACAAACCGCCCCTTAATGCTTGGAGCTTTATTTTGTAGAGGCTTTGATCAACTGATTTGCTGCTGTTTTACACACGTAACCCCCCCTCAGTTCACAACTCAGTATTCAATTTCAACAGAAAATTGATTAAGAGGAAAGAAAAGTCTTGCGGCTTGTATTTGTGTTTTTCTTCTGAATGATCCCAAACATGTCAAAAATGTAGCCAACAGAATCCCCCTCATTGTGAAGAACAAAAGAGACATTTCCAAACAATGTATGTGTATGTGTACCACTATGTAAGACATAATAAAACAATATAACTACACATTTGTTCTAGTAGTGTAAATGACTTTCATAAACAGAAGCTTCTTGGTTAGCGAGCGATGATTACATTTGACATTGCACGAGGACCCGAGGCTTCATGATGTATATTTAATGTAGATGCTCTGGTCTGCTTCTTGTTCTCGTGCATGCAACACTTTTTTTCAGGACCATATGGAGGCCATTTACAAGCCAAACCAAAAAACAATGAATTATTATAGTCATGCATCTCTTAGCAGCACTTGACTTTGCAATGTTTTAATTTATCATGACCTTACCATAAAAAGCTGTTCTCTTTTAACCTTCCCCTCAGTTTCTATTACAAAATCCGAAAGTGTATTACAGTCATAGTGGCTACTAAGCCTCTCCATGTTCGTTCAGTCGAAGGTTGCGTGATGTTTTTCCTCTTTACCACTCAGGCACCGATTAGAAAACAATTGCCGTCAAGCCATACCAGCATCAAAATGTCCTGTGAAATGTTTGAAATGCTTGATGGGAGTTGTTGCTGTGTGAGCTGCTCTCTGCATGAGGTGTTAGTGGCAGCTGGCCTCCGGAGCAGGAAAACCCTGACAATATGTAGAGGGGTGGAAGATGGCGCAGAGGTTTACCTTCTCCATCCTCATCAGTCGTCTCGATGGCTTCAATGGCTTCAATGGTGGCTGGGGGGGAGGAGGGGAGGGAGGAGGAGGAGGAGGAGGAGGAGGAGGAGGGCAGCAGGGTTACTCCTGATAAAGCCATGCAGATGTAAAACGCAGCCCCAACAGAAAAGGTGGCTCATGTGAGGCCAGATGAGATAATATACTTGTTTGCTGGCAATACAGCCAAACCTGAGAGGAACGTCATGCTTTCCTATTGAGAGAAAAAGTGTCCATCTTGGGTCATATGAAAAATAAAAATATACATCGATCCAATATAGAGAGAGAGAGAGAGAGTAGGACAGATATATTGAGAAAGACAGAGTGATGGAAAGACTCGAGGCAGGAATAGACATTATGTAAGAGGACTTGCTGTGGCTGTGCTCTGCATATTTTAAAAGTGTAATATCCGAGTAGCATTCCAGAGCTAGAGTAGACCCGGCGTCGATGCTCGGCGAGGTCGCAGTAACCTTATTTGTTAAGGTCCTACGGCCTCAGCGCCGAGACTAACTACCCATGGCCAATGTCGAAACTTAATCAATCATCTCTGCAGGGTGGATCATCATGAGAAATGTATATGGATTCCTAATGACGCAGTGGGGACAAACAATTATGGATCTCCCCAAGGCTCTGTGCACAAGCAGGGATTGATTTCGAGATAGCTAAACCGTAATTTGGAATTACTTTTGAAGCGTGATTCAAACGGCTCTTTGTGGATGCGTGTGCTGCCGATCGCACTGTAAATCAGCATTGAACTCTGCAGCTTTCAGCTGAAAATATAATGTTAAGATAACTGCAGAGAGGTCGATATTTTTGTCTAGGATATGAGTGAACAGTAAAATAGTAAAAACGGGGTTTAGCTGTTTCTCTGTGTCTTAATATGAGCATGCATATGCATAATGCGTCAGCTGCAGCATCTTTTGTAGGTTGGCGCGAGTTCTGCAACCCATAGGCAAGAAAATTGCTGAATGCTGCTTCAAGTTTATGGATGTTGAGGGAAATTCCGCCTTTGTCTGTTTTTGGGATGGAATTGATGTTGGAGTTTTTACACTTTGCAACTGATGGAATCTTAATGGAGTAAGAATTATGGAAAATCCATATTTTAAAGGCTAAAACACTGTTCAATTCCAGGTACGTCATAATAATATGAGGAGAAATTGGTGGTAGACTAGTTGGAAAATACATACTTCAAAATAAATTGCATACATAGTTAAAAAGACATTTTTCATTTAATTCCGACCTCAAGTCACAGACAGAAAGAGGCGAGACCAAAGGTGGGACAGAGAATGTTAATAAAGAAATGTTACAGAAATGAGATGGAGTATAGCGGGTAGAGGAAAGGCTTACGCTGATCCTTGTACTCACCACTCTGCAGTGTCTGTTTGCCTCCAGAGAGAACCCCACTCGGCAGCATGCCAGTGGGCGTCAGGCCTTTCAGCGTCAACACATTTTCACTCTCCTCTCTGCAGGAAACCCAGAGGCAGGCAAACGGGTCACAAAACTTCACTGAACCCTGATCAGACTGGAGAAAAAAAGCTTTGTGCCCCTATTTTGACAGCAGTGTATGCACACTCACATACGGACACACACATGCGCACAGACAGAAACACCTGATAACGTTTGCAAATGTGAATTCATACTCCCATTCGCATACGCAAACACAAAGTCTACCTGAGAACTGAGAACATTTTGGCCATCTTCCCAATGGCACGGATCTTGTTTCTGATCACCTCCTTGCGTGCTGCGGCTGCGTTGGCTGCAAAGACATCCATCATAATAAGCTATGTACCGCAGGAGAAACCTGTCCTATGGTTTTATAACACATACAACATATTGTTTTGATTCATAAGATACTGGAAAACACTCTATTATAGGTCATGTGACTGCACAATAGACTTATCATAGACTACCTGTAGTAAATCAGAGATTATTCTTATTGATGCAATAAGCATTGTCTTTTTTTTATACAATAGACCACATGTTTTTGTCTTTATTCTGATGAGTTACACGGTCCTGTTTTAAATTCTAATTTACGCCTCAAGGCCACGAGACAATTTACTGTATCATAAGTAGGTCGTTACAAGCACACAAGAGTCATTTCACCCATGGTTTTCTCTCCTGCCTGTTAACTTTTAAACAAATGGGCCAAAATCTCCCTCCATGAAAGACCCTCGAATCTATGGTGCCAACGCAGATTATAAATTATATATTACCAAGTACATTTTGACAAAAACCTCTTACCATCAAATATCTCATCTTCCTCATTCATCATGAGTTCATCATCAGAGCAGATGCTCAGCACATTCACCAGCATTTCTGTGACTGGGGTAGAAATAGAGTAAGAGGTGAAGTCGTCGAGATGACGCATCAGGATGACGATGACGATGAAGTATTAAAAAAGAGAAAACAGCAGAAACACTTGATACCTTTCTCTCCAACAAATGGCAGAGACCAGGTGAAGACGTCCATGAAGTTGGGTAGCCAGTATGGATGTGGTGAGCAGTTGAACTGTCGGATGTTCATGACGTTATTTTCATATTTCAGTACAGCAGCTGTTGGAGTAGAGACGAAGTAGAAGAAGCTAAAATGTTAAACTGAAATGAATGAAACATACGTTTTAAAAACGAGAGACATCGTAACGTCAGAATCATTTTTTTTTTTATTGTCAGAGCTCCACTGATAAAGAATATAAAAGCCCTCGGTTGACATTGTCTACATTCTATCTATCAATAGCCTGCATGCTGCTCTCTGAAAAGGATAAAATCCTTTTTGGTGCTTCAATAGGTTCCTTCTTTTTTTTATTAGGCCTAATGTCTCATAATTAGTCTCTCCAAACGTATCAATGCTTGGTAATGTTGCATGCGGCATGTGTGACGGAAGGAAGAGAGACATTCAACCACTAGATGGCCCAGCTGAGTCCAAGGATCGCTGACACTGTTACATCAAGAGGGATAAAGCCACATGGAGACAGTCAGCGATGCCGACAGTCCCTCCCACGCTCCCCATCTCCCATAGCCCATAGCAACCAAGACGCAGATCAGAGGACGCAAACAAACGGGGGGCTCCCTGATGCATTCGTATGCCCGCTCACGAGCTAGATGCAGATACGTTAACATGTGCAACCCCGTTTGGGATTTAAAAAAAACGTTTTAGTAGGAACGTCAGAGGAGCCCACGACAATCAGTGTTTTTGATCAAATCGAACCCAGATGCCGTTTAGAGGCCAGTGATGTTTGGAACGTTTCATTTAACAGCATGTCATGTATCGGGAGCTGCCTGTCTGCTACACACAGCTATTGAAATGATATGATGTATCTATGGAAATATACAGGAATATTAATATTGGCTGGACCGCAGCGGAGCGGGGCCCAGCTCCATAAACGCGTTAGTCTGTCACGGAGTGAGTGATGAAGTTACACCGCTGGTGGGTCGACACGGTTCTCTCAAAATGAGTTGGGCACAAGAGTTTTCCCATTGGTGACGTCTCTGCCGATCTGATGCCCTTCCTCAAATAAACGTGATTTGTTTGTCCACCTTTTCTGTTAAATGATCATATCAGCTAATGTGATAACAGCGCAAACAAAAGCACAGTGCTGTGACGGGTTAACGCTCTAAATGCCCAATAAAGCACCTTTAGTGTCACTCGAAAACAGATGCAAGCGGACACAGAGGATCAAATAACAAACCGAATCAAAGACAAGTATAAAATCGACAAAGAAGACGTTCTGCACCTTTGTTGTTGTAAACATCCAGGTAGTTTGGTGCTGAGAAGATGGTGATGAGGGATGGGAACCCAGTGGTCTGACTTTTGCGGTACATCCGGTAGCTTTGGCGGTCAGGTGGAGACGGAGACAAAGCAGAGCATGTTTTATATTTTATATGTATGTTAATGTGTGTCTATTTTTGCTTGAGTGGTTACGTGCGCCTCGTAATTTGTGTTGTGAGGATTACCTACCCGGCATCTTGTGCTTCGTGAGCTCGGATGATAGATAATAGGTTATTGCTCTGCAGGAACTCGCATACAGCCGGATAGCTGGAAAACATTGAATAAAAACAGCGTTTAGGGGCATCACTGAAAATGCTTTCAACAGACTGTAAAATACAAAATAGCGCCACAGAGTGCAAATCCATTACATTAAGCACACAGAATTTGACAGGGTTTGAAAAATATGTTCATTTCCATCAGACAACTAAACGTCGTTTATACTGCAGGCTACTAATTGCACATCTAGTCTCCCTCACCAGAAAATGAACAAAAATGTACAAATCATGAATGCATTCATGGAAGACCTGCTAAGGGATGATGCAAGCGTGTGAAAACCAATCCATCACCTGTTGCAATTAAAAACAAACGAACCCAGTATAACGCTTCAGTTGGAGCCCCTCCCCCCCCCCTCCTCCTCCCCCAGCTGTGAGCTGACAGGAAATGGGCCTGGAAGGGAAGGGAAGCCTGCGAGTAGCTCAGCCAAACGCACATGGCACAGCATATGGGCGACCCATGCATGTACCGCATCGTGCCGTTCTTATATTTCGAGCCGTCGGGTCACAACGTCGCCTTCGGGATAACCTTTTGGAAAGATGACAACATTCTCTTCCACACCTTTACCGCTGCTGCACGCGAAATTTCACAGCTCCACTCCTCTGGTGCGCAGTGGTGAAATGAGTAATGTGAGTATTGACTTTTTTTTCACCCTATCTTGTTGCAAGTGCTGCGGTTTTCCCGATGATTTCGACGGCATCGATCTTCTTCGGTTTCACGGAGTATTTAATTCTGGTATTTTCTATCGAGTTTAGTTTTTTCGGGGATGGAGATAGTTATCTCTCCGCTGGCTGCGAGCCGAAGTCCCCCTCCGTGTTTGTCTGGCCAGATGGACAATGAGCTGTCCCACAGAGAAAGACGATAAAAACCACATGACTTCTTATCTGACAGTTGCACAGTGATGGAGCAGATATGGAGCAGATGTAGGACCAGAACTTTGTAAAAAAAAAAAAAAATGCAAAAAACATAAGATGCCACAGAAAATACCCGACCTGTGTCACACAGGAGGGACATGTTCTCAGAACTGGGACACTTGCAGCTGCAGTGTGAATGTAGCCTTCCATGGCAGCTCTCCCCACAGTTGTTATATAACACGTAGAAGGTTGTGTTATGTCATTCACTGTATCTTCCCTTCAAACTGTGTCTCTTGGGTTAGAGGAAAAAAAGAAAGATGTAGAACTAAAATTTGATTAGCTCTTTTAAAATCGTGATGCCCTCGATTTGGCAAAACCTCAATCTGTCTTTTAACACGTCCATTGTGATTCCCTTTATTCCTTCCAGCTGCTGTCTTTCATATTAACATCAGACAAGATCAAATATCCTCACATACATCAGTCGTTTGTGCCAGCCCACTTACAAATGATTAATGATGATTAATTAATCTCACCATCTCTGATATCTTTCCAAGAACTGAATTCTTCAGTGACTTCGATAATTGCTCATGAGGTTGAATCAGGTTGAATCATGTTCACTAACCGCTCTGTATTCTTTCAAAGTAGTGCTAAATAAAGGGCTGATGAAGAAGACACTCACAGATGCTCTGGGTGAAAGTATTTGCCAAAAGCAACAAATGTTAAATATAATATATATAAATATACACGCACATGTCCACCTGAAGGAGTTTAATAGGCCACATTTAAAAGATGTTATCGCTCTTCTGCAAGTTTCTGCGAGGGCATTTAGAGATGCTAAAGCCTTTCAATCTCATTTAACTAATTACGGTTTGCAATTATCTATATTCACTTATTACTACAGCTTTGTAAATAGTCATACTTTTTTTGTTGTGAATTAACAATGCCAATTATTTTTTCATTCATCTGTTACGCTGATAAAATGTCAGACAATATTGAAAGTGTCATCTGCAATTTAGGTTGGCCGAGCTGAGGTTTTCACATCGCTTGTGTCGTTCAACCAACAGCCATATATTAAACTCAAAGTAGTGTACCGGAGAAGAGAAGCAAACACAAGGAGGTTCATTAATGATTTAAAAGAAAGATGCCGATTCCATGTCTGACCTTTTTGTGTGATAATCGAAAAGATTGCCAGGTCACTTTTTTGCCCCCTGAGCTACCGGAGCACAAAGCACACGCTCTCCCAGCCACAGTCCACTTGCTTACAGTCACCGCCGTCCACGCACCCATCAAACTTGCACAAGTGTTTGAAATATTTAAGTACTCAAAGGTTTTGTACCAGAAGGAAAAACAAGGAGACCGCTGTGCCCTGAGCACCTGGCGAAACTGTGCCATCCTCATCTATCTGGGTCACATGGCTAATATTCCCTTGGTGGCTGGTATATAAATTACAGGAATAGCCGCGTTACACACTAACACGACTGTGCTGTTACTCTTTCCACTAAGGCTGACGGTACACCCTGTTATATAAGTGTTTCTATTACAAACACACCTGCAGCACATTTCTTCACAAAGATGTTTGGCCGTAGCTACAAAGCAGTATTCTCTGTTCCGTGTGCACATTACGAACGCACACGTGCCGTGTAATAACACGAAGATCCCGCTGTAGCCGGTGTACTGATTTATTTTTTCAGTCTGCTCCAACGGTATTTATTGATTACTGCGAGGGAACATGGTACACACACACACACACACACACACACGTTGCTGGCCCGCCGGCTCACACTCCTTCTCTACCCTTTGTGAAAACACACAATTATGTGACGGTGAGCCCGAGAGCGAGAGAGAGAGTGAGAAATCTGACAAGTGAGTACGAGCGAAGGAGACAGAGAGAGATGGAAGTTCTGTGTCGCGAGTGTGAAAACTGAGAGGTTTTTTTTTTTCTTTCTCTCCCTTACGGAAATCCATCTGTCGTGCTGGTGGTCATCGCATTAATTTCCCCTGATATGCAAACTTTTTAAAACTACAATTACTGAGCAGAATCCCATTTTGTGGTCATATTCACTGCGAAATAATTCAGACTGTGGTAGTTGGTGATTCGTTTTGAAGAATAATATAGTTATAGTTACACGTTATGTAAGGCAGTATTATTATACGGAGCAGACTTAACACACAGTGCTCTGTGTTAAAACATTGGGGCATCACTACATGGCATCATTAGATACAAGTCTGCACTCGTGCGTCCAGATGAAGTAGATAAATGATATAAATGCTACGTGTAAAGCATCTTTTAAACACTAAATGATTTGTTTTAGTTTTTCTTTATCTCATCAACAGAGGGGACATGAAAAAAAAAGACTCCTGTTCCAATAAGTCTGTGAACAATGCTCGGTATTGATTCAGCGCAGCACACAAGTGAAACAACGCCGGCCGGGGCTCCAGTGCGTGTTTGCATGTATTGGAACAATAAGTCACTGTCACTATAAAATAACCGAGCTATGTAGGATTGCATTTTAATGCATCTCCAGTTTTCTCACATACGTTTATTTCAGATGCAGATTTTCCTGAATTTCCCCTAAATCCCCAAAGAGAACGTGTCTCTGTGTGCCGCATGCATGCCGCACACTTGGCAAGAGTCGTAATGATGGAGAGGTAAGTTTGAGAGTGAAGGCAGAACAAAGCCATGGGGAGATAGATGACTGTTATAGCAGCATCCTCCACACATCTACTGAATAATCCTCGCTAAGCTCCCCTCTCACCGTCAATAGATGGTTTCTCATCGCTGACCGTTTAAAAGCAATAAAAAAAACGAGAAGGTAAGACTCTTAAACTGCTTCCTTTTGTAAACTCAAAGCAACTGTTTCAAATGGACCATAAAACAGAAACGTCTGCGCCGAACACGTCAGTGGAACCACTTCATCGTCGGAGGCGAACACAGCGAATGGCACGGTTTATAATGGCAACCGGAACTTACTGTATGTTCAATGTTATTATAACATTATAATTATAATGGAATCTTTTGGGGGTCTCTAAACCTTCATCAAGAAAAACTCTCACCCAAATCCCCTCCCCTCACCCCCCCCCCCCCCCACCACCCTCTTCCACAGCCTCTCCTCCATCTCCAGGTCGAACAGTTGCGTAACAAACCGGTTCCCAATTGGCACTCGCTATTACATTTCCCTCCTCTCGCTCACAGACTCTATTTTTATTTGACTCCAGGTTCACCGAGATAATCCTTTGTCTGTTCCAATGTGTTTCGAGAGTCAAAAGGACAACCTGCTCTCAACAACAGTTTTTAACCACGATGCAATGTGACCCATTTACACGTAGACTCCATCTGTAGGCTTTTAGGATGCCGAGGCATTTTATCATTCAGTCCCCTCCTCGTGTTGTTCCCATTACGGGGTATTTAGCATGTCTCTATTGTTTGTTTTGTTCTTTTTTGTTTTGCTGAGCTAAAAAAAAAAAAAAATGGTTGATATCTATTAATAATTTTTAACATCTATTTTTGATATGACCCGTTTCTGTTTGCGAGGCTTCTGGGTACCAGACAAATGTCACCCTGTACTTCTTGCAAAACCTCATAATTAGTGATTATTTAAGGTGTTGACCTTTTAATGCCTCACGATCAACCGACACAAACGCATCGTTTAGCTTAACCGGCCAATATTGATTGTTAAAGGATGCACAGAGCGAGATGCAAGATTTCATTCTTTTAAAACTAAAGTGGGAATAGAGACCTTCAACGAGCCACACGGGTCAAACTAAGGAAAACCAGCGCAGGACGCGACGAGCACTTGAGGCAGGCAACACCACCGGAGACGCTAAAGCGACACTGCGGCGCATCATTGGGTGTATTTCTATTGTAATCCCATGATGTCCTGTAGCGCTAATAAGAAGGAAGGGCTCACCTGTAGAAGTAGGAGCAGCCCCGCACTGTGTTGTGGCTGAAATATTCCTGGGTTTTCTCATTGCCAAAGTCCTCCAGAGGATCAGCCCACAACAAGTCACACATGGGCCCAAAAGCAGGCGGCTCCTTGAACCGATCCAACTTAACACAAGAACACAGACAGGCGGGTTTAAAAAAAAAACACACACACACAAAAAAAAATCCCAACGTCGACTAGACCTGGTAGTGCCGGAGCAGCGTGTGGCTACCTTTTTAATGTCATCTAAGGTGTGTATTTCAGGTGAGAGCCCACCATGGACACACAGAAACTGCTGGTTCATGAGTGCAGCCAGGGGAAGGCAGTCGAACGCATCCATACACGAGTCGTACACCTGCTCTGAGTACTTGATTTTACCTGGCGGAAGAGAGACGTGTAATGAGCTCCATCAAGGTTCTCACAGGTATGTTTGCACATGATGCACGACTGATATTGCATGCCCTTCTTTTACATAGAACAAGACAAAATTACAAAAGTGGTATAATTGGAGACGGAAGGAAAAGATTAGTTTTTTTGAGAACACATATTAGAATAACATTTTTTTTCCATCATACAGAAAGAACTGGCTCCAGACAACACAAATCTAGAGACGGATACACACAACAACAATACATCTGTAATCAACACTGAGAGGTACTCACATTCTTGTTTGAAGGTGAAATATTCTGTCAAATGTCTACATTCATGATTTCCACGAAGTAAAAATAGTGTCTTTGGATAGAGGATTTTCAGCGACCAGAGGTATAAAACACACTGTCAAAACAAAGACATTTCACAAAGTCTTATCCCACGCCAAAGTACAACCAACTGTATTGAATACACAAAGCTTTCATCAGTTTGATTGATGCACTAAATGACATTATTTTGGGTTTTACCTCAATACTGAAGTAGCCACGGTCCACATAGTCCCCCAGGAACAGGTACCGCGTTGTGGCCGGTGATCCTCCCACTTCAAACAGCTTCATAAGATCAAAGAACTGCCCGTGGATGTCACCACAGACTGGAAAACAACCAAAGGACAGCGAACGGCACACAATCAGTGAATATCTTTGCGTCTCTTTCCTTCTTCTCGCGTTCAGCGCACGTCTGTCGCGTCACTTGGTTATTAAAGATTCATTCTATTGCATTGGAACGACCGTCAAAACCCCTTCGCAGCTTCTAAAACACACTCACAATAATAATTGGATACAGATGTGATAAAACTTATCATCAGCGTTTGTTTCTTGTCCAGGAAAAAATGTGTTAACGTCGATTTGTAAAGAGCGCCATGGATTCACTTCTCTTATCTGTTCTGCTCTGAGGGGGAGAAAACATAAAACCACACAGAGGAGAGGCAGCGTGGAGAACATTGTGGCTGTACGGGGCAGCGGCGTCTGTCTTCTCCTCATGCTCACGGGTTCGCTGTGTGAAGAGACACACAGGCAGGCCTCGCATTGCTGCAGTTTGTGTCATTATCTGTGCCTCTCATCCACTCTCTCCAGTGGTTAAAGGTTGCATGTTGTGTCTGATTAGTTTGTATTTAAGTCCTGGCTCGGTCGTGTGTTCGACGGACCCTTTGGTTCCTTCGATTCTGCCTTGTCTGCACAAACTGTGAACAAACATTCCTGCCTTTGCATTCTCTTTGGGTCAGAGTCCACTGGCTCCACCCTGCATGGATATTTAGCGTGTCGCTTCTACAGCATCACACTGGATTATTGTATGCAACAGACTAACCGTGTCCCCACGCGCTTCACGTAGTACAACAATTATTCACATTGTCACTAGAAGTGTTCTAACTGCAGATTCACAAATGTTCGGTCAAGTACAAATAAGATGGAGTTCACCTTTAACAGTCCGCAGAGCAGCAACGGAGGCTGTGAAAATAATATTGCTGTAAATGCGTATTCTCGCAGCAAGAATGTGTATTCAATCTGCAATTAAACCCCATCTGCTAGTATTGAAACACTAAACTAGAAATATGATGGTATAAATGTCTCCTGCGCTCAGGTCGTCGTCTTATCGCGTTATTTACGGTCTTTGGGTGAAAGGACTCTGTCCTCCACGGAGACATGAGAAGTTCTCACCTCAAAGACGTAGAAAAAGCTCAAGCTCCCAGGGGAGATACATACAGTTTTTTTTTTGGAGCGAAGACCGTGGCTCTGGAGTGCAAACCTACATCTCATTTCCTCACTGCCTTCAATTTTTCATTATCATCTTCCTCTGTCTCCTTCTCTCCTACTCACCCTCCATCTCCTCTCTTTTCTGTCTCCCCTATCAGCTCCACAGTGGCCTTCGCCCACTCAAAGCTTAGAGCAATGTGAGTGGGAGACTGCTTGTGTGACTAAAGCAATCAAACACACACATGTGCACATACGTACACGCGCACGCACACACACACACACACACACACACACACACACACACACACACACACACACACACACGTAAACACCCGTGGAACACATCCCTGCAAGTAAAGGCTGCATAAACGCCTAATAAAATATAACTACACACACACACACCTACAACTGTAGAGACCTCCAAACACCTCGAGGTCGCAAAGACGTAAAAACAATCACAGATGCCCATACACAATACTGATTATGCATAGTTCATGCCGAACACATAAAGCCTGCGTTTTCATTGCGGCAGTCAGGGTGAGGCGCCTGAGACTTCACCTAAAGTCAACGGGAATTTTCTATCGATTCGTCACCTTTTCTCTGAATAAAAACTGTACTCGCTTCCAAGTAAAACAGTAAAGCTGATGGGATATGAATTAAAAATGAATGTATATATAATATCACATAGTTTTGGGTGAAGGTGGATCAAGTGTTAAAGGCATCAAGGAATACACAGGTGGAACTTGGATTTGAGTAAAATGGGGTCTATTATCAAAGGTTGGGTATGGTTTAAATGGTGTTTGAGGTTATTTGTTTGCAGAATAACCTATTTTATGATTTCACCCCAATAAAACTCTGAAACCCTGAATTCAACAAAAGACAACGTATGATAGTCTAAACGTATGATAGTCTAAACTTATGATAGTCTAAACGTTGTGAACTTTGATTTCCTAAAATTGGTAAAGCTTTGATTTAAACTAAATCAATTTCATTGAAATAATCTTCCAGCTGATAAGGTATTTAAAGGCAACTTTCATTTTTAATACCTGCATGGACAATCATTTTATTCTGTACCACTGAAAATCATGTGATGGCCAAAAACCTTCACACATCTCCAAATGCTTTGTTTTGGATAGTTATGTATTTTTGTCATTTTTTTCTTTTATTATTAACTTTTGCTGTATGTTGCACTAATGATGCAATTGTGCTCCATATTATATCATAATATATGTATATATATATTTTTCTTGCTTGTCATACTATCCTCCCAGTACCTATTTCGCAATTATCAACTGTGCAAAAATGGCCCAAAAGGAGAACAAAGCGTGACAGACAATGTCACACATCCACTCACCAGACAGATGTGGAGGAAATATCTTACATATAACACGATTCAACTGCCCATCCAAGCCCGATATTCAATCCGATCAGGTGAAACACGCTTCACCGGAACGCTGAGTCATCACAGTGTCCAGGTGTGACATCCTGCAGCGAGAATAGGACCACGGGCACCATCTGAATACCTGTCACTGGGGCCTCGATGTCCAGTATGGTTTTCTCCTGGCGCAGGATGGCTGCTCCCTCGTTGATGATCCGCAGGGCCACAGCTTCCTCTACCCGGCCCTCTTTGGTGAGGTGGGCTTTCAGGAGGTCCACGCGCGGTTTCGCTTCGCAGTCAAACACTTCCTTCATTGTAAGGCGGTGGCTCAGGGGGAAGGGAACAGCTGAGGACGGAGCACATGGTGACATTCAAACAGGGCGGACGTCACGGTAACCACGGCTGCCGTCGATGCCGTAAATAATGCGACTCCGGGCGGCTGTTTGGTTTATCGCGAACATGTCGCGAGGCGTAATACGCTCAAGCAATTCAAACATTCAAATGGTATCTCGGTTATTTTGAAATGGACGTCGTCGAACCAATCTTTCTTCGCAGATGTGTAAATACACAGATCAGTTGCTTTTTTTAAACGGTCGGTAAAAGGTGCGAATCCCTCTTGCAGCGTTTGCAATTAAAGTGCTATTTATTTTCTTGTGTCACTTCATGCAAGTAATGTCTATTTGTTACGCAAGCGATTCAACACACTACACTTGGGTGGCTTGGTTCAAATATCAAATTAACCTGTCAATTATCAAGTAGCGCAAGATAATTGACTGGAAAACATTGACACACACAACAAACTAGGAGTTGCTGACTGGGATTCCAGGACAGATGTGAGGGCACTCGCTAAATATTTTCTGATTGCTGGATACAACTCAGAGAAACATCTAAGCACCGTATTCATCTCTCTCCCATGACTGCTGGAGCCTGTGGCCATTAAAATGCACCAGTCACCCACTGTGCCCAACACACTGCCTGTGAAAGTGTGAAACACAACAACGCATCATTACTTCAGTTGCAGCAAAGGTTATTTATTATTTATTATTATTATTATTATCGGGTGCTGCTCTGCGTGTGCTGCGATTTGCTGTCAAGGGTTTACGTCAATCTAATGATCACCTGGCTGAATACGGACAACTCTCAGTGTCTTTGAGTCGTAAACAAGACAAACAAGCGCACAACACTGGTAATGTTTAATGGTAAGCATTATCGTTTAAAAAGCTCTAAATTAACAAAACACTCATTTACTGCAGCACCCAGCATGCCGGCTAAAATAAAAAAACGTTCATGCCGGCACCACCTCCAATACTAAATGCTAACATGCTCAACTTTCACCTCCGGCGAGCTGTGCGAGCCTTTCTGCTGTTGGTGTCAATACTGCTCTTACAGCTCAAAACCTTGTGAATTGGGGGAGTGAAATGGGAGCGGAGAGGCTGAGAGGACCGGTTGTATTATGCTTTGAGGGGGAATGAGCAGCGAGGTTTAGACCTGAAGCGAATTGAGCAGGACTTGGTGGTGCACGGGCAGGTGAGTACACCAGGTGAGTGTGTTTGTTGCACTATGCGTGCAGATTTAATGTGAGTGTGCTGCAGCTGCTGTTTTTTTAATAGTATTTAGATCTGTTGGCTGCCTTGGCGCTGCTTTATTGAGCTGTAAAAGTGGCAGGTTGTTTTGTTTTTGTTGTCGAGTCAGGCTTGTTGCACCTGCCGCGCTGTTCATAGCTTTTTTTTATTTATTCTTGGCCATTTTTGTGTAATTGTCTTATATTTATTAACTCTTGTGAGGCTTTACAGAGGAAGTAGTGTGTAATAATATATTTTTATAAATTTAATAAAATCGATAACTGGTTGTTTCTGTCCATATAAAAGGAATTATTGTTATTTGGTCACAAGGCATTAGTGGCATGATGACATGTTACATATCCTGCACCTTATTTTGACATTATTTTACTTTGAATAGCTATATCATGACATTATAATCACCATATACTCTTTTACTCTGACCTACTTTTTACTTTTATCTGAGTGCATTTTTAGCTAAATATTCTAGTACTCCACACACACACACACAGACACGCATACGTACACATGACACAAGCCATGAGCAGCAGCATCTTCACGAGTAGATTTCAGGAGGGCCAGACGAAGAGAAGACAAAGGGAGAGTCTCAAAGCTCAGGCTTTAACCCAATGCGATCAACACCATCTTTAATAATGAAAATAACCTCCAAGTCGCTGCTTCTTGGATAATGAGGCGGGTCCCAGCGAGTGTGTTTCATTTAATGGGACAAAACAATGTTCACAGTGGGCAGAGTGTGTCTGTGATTGCAGTGTGTGCTTTGACACTTTACCAGCTAGCACACACTCAGCAGCACAGCCACCATTCCCATTGTCTCAGGTTTCAGTGAGCCTAATGTTGTGTGGCAGCCTCGCAGCATGACAGCACAACTTTAGCAAAATATGTCTCAAATGCGGTGATAAATTGCCTTCACGGGAACCATTTTTATTGGAATTGAGAGCGGTCGAATGAGCCAGCGAGCTACAGCAGCACTGACTGTAAAGAATCGGAACTGGAAGGCATTGTCCAAAACACATTGCTGTAGGTGCTGTGATTTAATCAGTAACATGAACTGAAATAGAACTACGTGCAGATGCTTTGAAAAGGACATAACACTTTTTTAGGCGGCAAAAGATTGTGACCACTAATAACAAAAAAAATCCCCACTCAACAAATGAAAGCAATGCATTTTACAGAGACGTGTGCAGACGCAACTGTACGAGCGCGCTGATGTACAGATGTACGGTGAGATGAAGAGCTGACTTCTGCTCAGCACCAAAGCAGAGTTCAACTATGAAATACGGAATGTTGCCGGGCAACAGCAGCAGCAGCAGCAGCTGACTGTTGGAGTACAGCCAGTGCCGCCACAGAAAAACTGCAATTTGCATTGGAGGTTCACATGGATGCTGTTGGAATCGCTCATGCGGTAGACAGGCCAATCACACCGAGGACTGTGAGCCTGTAACGTACCCTTTTTTTTACGGCCAAAAACACATTTTCCCAAGAACGGTTTGTCGGTATGCTGAAAGCTTTGCAAAAAAATTAAATAGAAGAAAGAAGAAGCGACGGTAGGTTTGCGTTTGCTAATGAGCAGCCCTGGGTTTCAGACAGGAAAGGCAGAATGGCTTCATGTGGTCGGAAGAACTAGACTGTGCTGCATTTACAAGAGGCCCAATTAACATACAGTCCACCCAAGTGTCAAGCTTTTAACACGACGTCGCCTTGCTTTCTGTCAGCAAGAGATCCGCCTCACGTGACGTTTGAAGGTGTGTGTGTGTACCTCGCCACTAATGTTTAATGTGCAGAAAGAAACCCCCGACCGCTGCTCCAGCGTCAATAAACTATTTATGTCAACACCAGTGTTGTTGGATCCAATTTGCATGTTTGCCCCTGAAAGCCAGAGTTAATGTTTTAGCCTGTCACGAGGCCCGATGGGGTTGGAAGCTGACACACGATGTCTCAGAGCAGTGCTTCTATTGCTGCGCACTTATTTATTTAAATGACCAGTTTTTATAGCTTTGCACTCACGCACTGTCATTATTTTTGAGATGGAGCTATTGTGGCGTATTAGGAACATAGTTTTCTGAGGAGCTATAATAAAGTAAGATAATTCACAGGTGTACTAAAGGGCTCATCCCCAAAATAACTGACCTGAATCTGCCTCGTGAGGCCCACAGCGCGGCGGTGACAGTGCTTTGGAAAACAAACCGCACAGACCAGCAGTTTTTTTTTTATTTCTCTAGATATGATCTGTCGTGTTAAAACATGTAAGAGAGAAGAGAGGCACCGGCACACTGGCTGTGGTTTAGGTTTGAGATATGTATACAGGGATAAAAAAAACTTTAAGTAGTTGGTAGAATCAGTGCTCGGTGGTTTTCTATGTGCGTCACAAGCAATAATTGTCAGTTGCCAGTTAAGTTCTTTTTTTATCACTTTTCAGCTTTTATGGTTTTGTAAAAAAATAAAAAAGAAGGGTTTTACTACGTTATACAAGTGGAGAACGAGAAGCTGATAGAAGTGACAAGGAAGGTCAAAAAGAACAAATGGAGATTTGAACAAATACCTTGAAGCTATTTGAGAAGACTTCCTATTTACTTTGTGTGCTAATAGCAAAAATGAAACAAATCCATATGATTTCATTCAACCAGACAAAAATGCATCAAGTGTTTTAAATATTGTGAAGGAACCCTAAATGTTACATGAGCATGTTACCCAAGCAAAAGTCAGAATTCTTCGTTTGCTAATGTCAACTTTTTGTTTGACATATTTATGATCCCAGAAAAGCTTCGCCAAAAAATTAACCACAAAAAACCTCAAACTAATAATGTGACTGTAAAGTCTTTCAATTACTATAAACGTATAGACAAATGGCAGTATATCAATTGGATGGACCGTTTAGAGAGAATGTCCTTTAACTGTATATGATTAAATAGTGGAAATAAAATATTCATGTTTCAGCAGTGTAGTCAAATGGATATGTTTCAGAATTTATAATGCACAATGTGTCATTACAACTTAAATAAGACTGAAAAAAAGATCGGGTGCCTCTGGGAGAACCTGGCTCCTTTTTTTCTGTCACTACAGCTCCTTTAAAGGGCAAAGACCTGTTGGTACTATTCTTAAATAAAGCTTTTATCATTTGGAAGAGCTTAAACATACATTGTGCCTGCAGTCATTGTCACATAAGTGTATCTCACAGTGGAAATGACTCGGGTTTCTACAACTCTCTAGCCTAAAGGACCCAGTTCTTAATGCTGACTGAGCTGCTTGACCATTACGATAATATACGCAATGTGAATATCTCGAGGCTCAGTGCTGCCTGCGAACGATCCATAGTCCAAAGGAGCAGTGCTAAATGAATTACAGCAGCACTGTGAGCACTTCATCATCCTCCATTGACCCAAGTGGTGGCCTCGTCTGACGGAGCAGCCTTCTCCTCATCTACTAGTGTAGTTTTTTTTTGGTTGGAAAACCTCAAAGACCTTTTCTCTTGTGAAATTAAAACATGACTCAGTCCTGGTAAAATATACCCCCATTAAATGTCAATTTCATGCACTCTTCCTCTTCCACTGGCCCTGTCAAAGCCTGTGAAATCCTGCTGCATCACTGCCCCAGCATCCACAGAAAAAGCTCGGCCGTTCAGCTGTTTTTTTCTTCTTCTCCTTCTCTCATCCCATGCCTACCACAGCCGAAATAGAGACAGCAACGATTAAACTATAAACAAATGTGTGCAATCCAACAAAAAAAAAATTAAATAAAAAAAAAAATCCATATTTTCCGCTGCGCCGCTGCTGCTTCTAAGCAGTATGCGCGTTCTTGGCGGGGGCAGTGCAGCAAAGAAAACTGTGTTTATCAACATCAAAGCCCCAGCAGACCCCCCCCCCCCACACACACACACACACCTACACCGTCGCCTTGAACGCAACTTGATGGCCGCATATATGCACGACGGGGAAAATAAAGGCCATATCCTGCCGACAGGAGAGGGGAAAAAGCACGAGGAGCTAAACACCAGAGACATTATGTAACATCTACCAGCCATAACATAAAAATGCGGGCTAACTTACATTTCACCATCCGATCGGTGGCGGTTAAGACGATGTCAGCGTTAGACATCTTCATGGACAGTAACTGTCTTCGAGGCTGAAGCGTTTTTTTTTCTTTTTTCTTCTCTCCCTTCCTTCTTTCGGGGGCGGGGGGAGGAGGTGGGGAGGGAGGAAGCGTCTAATCTCAGTATTTGTTGTCGAAATGCGACTGATGCTGTGGCATCACTTGGATGATGCGCCCCCTCCGTGCGTCGGTGCTGCGCCGGGTAGGACTGCTGCTCCCCAGGCAGGGATGGATGCTGGATGCTGGAGGAGCTGCTGCTGCTTCTGCTGCTTCTGCTGCTGCTGTGCTAAGCTGTTCATGTGGGGGAGGATGCACGGAGAGAGAGGGAGAGAGAGAGGGAGGGAGGGAGGGGGGAGAGAGCGAGCGAGAGAGAGAGAGAGAGAGAGCGAGAGAGCGATGTGCACTATCCCGACATGGCGGTGAAGGGAACTCCCACGCAAATGTTCCACGGGACTGCCTGATGCTGCCATCAGATGGAGGCTGAGACGGGGTTGCCCCCACGTACGCACGGCACGCACGCACGCACGCACGCACGGCGCGCTACGTTTTGGTATTCCCGAAAATGTCAGTACGTCGTAGGAGGAGCGCGTGGGGCCTCGGTTCGAGCGCAGTGGAAAAAAAAGATGCTCGTTCGGATGACGTACGACGAGATGCAGATTTTTAGGAGAGAAAAGCGTATGAAATGTAATGATGAGGCGTCTTTTTGTTATTGTGTCGCACTGCATTTGGTGAGTCAGTTCTAACCTGCAGCTGTAAAAGGAGCCCATGAATTTATATGATTCTCACAATAACATTAATCATCTTATCTAGACTGAGTTGTGGCTCAGAAATGCTATATAATGGATCCATAAGGAATTATATTTCGAATATGAATGAACAAATAATTGCCCACTTACACACCCCATTGCTCATGTCACTAAAGAAATGATGATGATGATGATGATGATGTCCCATTGAGTGGGACTGAAGACCTAATGTTGGGAAACATTTACATAAACTGTACCCATAATCATTTATTCAAAATTGTTACACAATGAACATAGTCTGAGCTGCTAAAGACGCAACTCTAAAACAAGGACATTAAGGATTTAGGACACAACTCGAAACTTGGAAAAAATATTTAGAGTCAATGAACGCACTTGTCATTTTTTTTAGGGTTAGAAAATCTGTACATGTTTGCAGCAGGCCAAGGAATGTAAATAAAAAAATCCTCTGCAGTTCCTCCAGACCACCAACAGAGGCCGGTCACATCTTTCTGCTCCTAACATTTAACAGAGCATTTATTTGAACGTTTATGCAATACATTTATTTTATGTCACAGATCTACTTGCTTATTTAAATTTAAAGACTACCGATAATAATCCACCGAAAATCTCAGATTTTAACTTTGAACAGTAAGACTGAATCAGAACAAAAAGTCTAATATTGCGCTGGAGAACCAAACGAAGCAAACCGAATACCGTTATGCTTCCCCTTTTCGTTATTGTCTTTCCGAACTGAAATCTCTGCACACGACTACAGCAAAATGTGCACCGACTCAACAGTCCGGCTGCGGTTCAGAGGGGAAGATACGGGGAGACATCAAAATCTGGCTCATCTTTCCACGCAGTCACATGTCAGCGATCCATTGAATGTTTGAGAAGCTATCTCATCATCTAATACAAACAATAACTGAACAATGTAACTGCATCGTGACCTGACTGAATCAGCTGATTACTGCTTGAGTTCATTGATCACTGATCACTGATCTCTATCATCAGCCTACATAAAACCAGTCATGACAACCGGTCTGAACCGCGAGCATGACTGGTTTCAGGGCATGTGATGCTCGCTGGCTTTTCATCCTTCGTCATCGCTCCTGGAAATAAGAGCTTTGAGCACACTGCTGTGATTGTAAGCAGCTCTGAAAGAGCTCCAGTTGTGGTTTTCTTTGGGGTGGAAAAGTAGCTACTTATACGAATTGATATTCTACCAGTTTCAGCACCACCGTGAATGACTGGAGTCCCGTGTCGTTTTCAAGTGATTCTGCGACGTGTTGAATGGCTTAAAGTAAACCGTTTTTTGAACATTAGTTTTTAATAGATTGAAGGCCTCCATCGCTTCAGTGCTCGTATTTCAGCAAAAGATCCCAATAGATTGATGTTTTGTTGCAGAAATATGTTGCTAAGAACGAAGGTGCAAACAGGCATCAAGTTTTTCGCAAATGCTCAATCCAACCTGTGTTGTACTCAGCGGTGAAGTGGATGTACATGGCGTGCGCACACTTCTTTTACCGGCGTTTTGCAGCACACCCAGCTATTCACCCCAAAGCCCTTGAAACACATGGGATATAGTGGAGTGTACCGCCTGCTCCTTGGTAATCTACTTGGTATCATCACTCATCATCAACTGCTACACCACAGATTATTCATTCAATATGGCTTATGTTTGCAAGTCTGCAGATGTTTTGACCATGAGTTTGACATTTTTCTTAGCAAAACATTGGTACCCAGTTGGAATTTTACCTCTTATCAAGCAGTGTAGGGTGAATACTGCTTGAAGGTGTTCCAGGCATTGGTTTATTACCCAAAAGCACCCGCCTTCCCTATATCCCACTCATTACTTCATTTCTTAACATCTCGGGCAGCTTCTTTAAGGATCTGCCACTAGATGGGGTCCCAACCTCGATTTTAGCTGCAACAACAGCTGCAACAGCTGGTCGCTTGGTACTGCTACGGGAGGGGCGGTGTTTGCCGCTTGGCATTTAGAGACATGATCATTTGACGAAGCAACGACACTACTTACTTAGTGGCACAAGCTAAACAGTTGTTGATGCATTTTGGTCATGCGTTTTTTTTTTAATGTCCTCATACAGCCAGTCAAGACAATGGCGCCACTTGCTTCCCGACAGGTGAGGCTGAGCAATGTGATTAGTGGCAGCGTGAGTAATAACTCTCTAGAAATGGAGCCAGTGTTGCTCATTAGGCAGAGCGGAGCGGAGAGGCTCCGACTGACTAAACGCAGCGGTGCGTCATGGAGGTTGCGGGTGTCGCTGGAGCAGATGAACCACAGCGTGGTGAGGAAAGAAAAGAGGAACTTTGTGCTGATGATCTCTCCTTCACTTGGGTGCTGTGGTCTTACATGAACAACATTCTTGAGCCCTATTTTCCCGCGTGGACTGATACCCCGAAATGACTAACCCCGCCAAGACTGCCACGTGCACAGTGGCAGAGTGTGCGAAGCTCATTCTAAATGGGATTTGCTTTAATCGGCTCTCAGATTATTTCTGCCAGTGGCAATGACCTGTTGCCAGTTATATTTGACCACTTTTTTAAAATGCCCTTCTTCCTGGCATGCGGTCCCGGCTCGATGGGAGAGAACGGCACCAGGAAATGACCCGATTCTTTGCCGAAGTCAATGTTCTTTGCAGTCACGTCAACGGCGCAAGCTATTAATTAAAGCGCGAGCCATGTGATTATCACAAGTAAAATGTCTCGGCTCGTAATAATAACACACCAACTAAAATGGGCGGGAATGTATTTATATTTTGTCCATGTCAAACCTTGAGAATCCATCTTCTTCTTCTGATCTGCTCGAATTCTATTGGCTGAAAGTCACTGACCTCCAGAAATAAGAGTTTTTCTTTAGGAAATGTGATTTGGATTTAGTGATTTGTTAAAAGAGTAGCCTATTGTCTAACTTTCCGGAAATCCGTTTGCGAAGCCTGGTACCACTCTGTGCATCAACTAGCCTGGAGGCATGACAATCACAAGCAGGAAGAAACCAGAAACGGAAGCAGCTGACTCCAAGGCTCTGAAATACCCGTGTCCACACCTCTAAAGCTCACTAATACAGACATTGTATCTCTTAGTTTGAGCCACATGGAATCTGATGGATGAAACAACATGTTTAAGTAGTTTTCTATACAGTTTTGTCGTGGAACCCTTTCACTCTGAACTCAGTGACTTCCTGGAGGTTGTGAGAAGGAAAAGCAACTGGAAAACTCCAACAGCTGGTAAAATTTGGTGACACACGATCTATGGTATTCCAAAGGAAGTGACATCATCTGGCACCAAAGACCAGCCAATAGGAGAGACCACGGACATGTTTGTTGCCAGTAGATGTCATGCTTCACACATCATGTTTGAGATGGGACAAATTTGTAAATGTCAGATTTTAGAAATCACTCTGGACATGGATGGATGGATGGATGGATGGGTAGGTAGGTGGTAGGTAGATAGATAGATGGATAGATAGATAGATAGATAGATAGATAGATAGATAGATAGATAGATAGATAGATAGATAGATAGATAGATAGATAGATAGATAGATAGATAGATGGGTGGGTGGGTAAATGTCTGTTTGTGCGTAGAAGCACTCTGACTAAAGAAGAAGAATAAAAATATTGTCTCTCTGAAATAATGGATGTTGAAAGTGTGTTGCAGTGATCTTTTGGACTTGCAACGTTCTTCACTAATGCTCGGCGATGAATGTTCCCGCCTTGCTCCCTTCGTCCCAGGCGTACCTCTGCCTGGGCCGTCTTCAGGGGCTTTCCTTCGGCGCTGGTCATGTGTGCAGCTGGGGATGGAGGCCATGCAACGCTAATCCTCCTCCCCAGCTCAGGAAAGTACCCTTCCTCCCTGTGCAGAACGAAAACAACAAAGAGCCGAGTGTGGCTGCAGCCTGCGGGGTTCAGTGCACCCACCAGAACATGTCCAAGAGTCACAGCTTGCTGCTCCCTCCTACCCATCTATCCACGCATGACTCTCCCTCTCTCTCTCAGGCTTTCTCTCTTTTGACCCTCTTTTCAACCTATGAAAGACACGTGCGGTTGCAGACTACAACGTAACATACCTCCAATTCAAACCAGAAATAGAGGACTTTGCAAGGTCAAAAGGGAGAAAAAAGAGAACGCCGCAAAAGACAGTGTGGTCAGAGTGTGTTTTATGGAGGCAAAATGATCCCTTTCCATGTTACATGATCCAATATGACTGTATGAATACAGTGATATGGTATAAAGCCCTAAATGGAAACATGAATGCAAAAAGAAAGCAAAAACGGGAATTAACTTCACAAGCAAAAAGAACGGAGGTGAAGCACAGATATGGCAAAACCTGGTTGGTTGTTTGTTGTATTGAGGGTTACTTCATATGTTCAATCCAATCGGGGTGATTCGATACCGGACACAAACTTTGTGAAAAGACCCCCCTTGCAATACTTCTAATGAGGCTCAAGTATTTAAATACCCATAATCATAATTTTATGAGCCCCTCTAATTGGGATGGCAATGTCCTTTTGTCCAGCAGATTGGTTCAAACTAAATGACCTCGTCAAGACATTTCATTCACTCATTGATGTCCTCCCTCGGGGTAAATCTTGTAATAACGTTGGCGATCTACTGGCTTTTCTTCTACCACAATCCTCTCGACAAAATGGATGAATTTAGCCCATATTTTGGTCTGTGACAAACTACCTGCGTTATTCTTTGGTGCTGATTAGCAAGCGTTAGCATGCTAACGCGCCGCAGACAGTAGACGTTATAAACTTCAAACAGATTAGCATTCAGCTCACAACAGCCCCGGTGATTTTATAGGCTTCGATAAGATATAATAAAACTCGATGGAAAGCTTTGTTTCAAACACATTTGACAACTTTTGAATAAACTCACAGCAGCGCTACATTTCCAGTAAAACCTTTGGAGGAACGTTAGGAACGAACACAGAGCACATTTGGTTAAACCAACAAAATGCATTCATACAACTGGTGTGTTTTCACATTGACAGGATTGTGTGTGAGGAATTGAATTGTAGATTTTGAAAGTACAAAAGGTGTTAGCAGACCTGCCGCGCTGTTACTCCACTGTATTATTGAGTAATTTGACCACACAGCAATGCTTCTTTTGGTCACTCACTTCCTGGTTGGGATGACGTAACTGCAGTTGGACGGTTTGCCAAAAGATTTGTAACAACCTAATTGGGTATGTTTAAGAGAACGAAAACGTTTAAAATGGTATAATGAAACTTTTAACGGAAATCCCATTCTCACATCTATTTACTAAAAATATGTTTGGATAGGTTTAACATCCTTTTAAGTGATATTCCTTTTGTGACTAAGGAGTTACACTCCAAACCGACATACCCGTCAGTTAAAATAAATGGTTCTGAAAATATATATATAGATCTATATTTTATTTTCAATTGAAACATTTTCCCCCCAAATAGATATGAAACACAAAGTATAATAACTATATTCTCGATTGCCAGTGATTAAATGACAGACTAACTTGTTTAAACTGAACATCTTTAATGCGTTTGGGACACCAATCCCGTGCGTAATTACACATTTGGTGGCGTTTTCACTTTAGCATTCACTAAGTGAGTGTCATGTTTATGAGAGCATATTTGTTTGCAGGGAGGTTGGTTGATTACTGGCAGAGTTTGCAGAGCCCCCCCCCTCTCTCTCTCTCTCTCTCTCCCTTTCTCTCTCCCTCTCTTCATTCAGCTGCCGCGGTCTTTTTTTTTTGTCCAGCTCTGGAGCCTCCACCGCACAGCTCGATCGATTCGCATTGATTGTCCCTGACGAGCTGCTCCACTTTCTAGCCAATGTCAGCCAGTCTGCGATCGGGAAGGAGAGAAATGAAGGAAAATCTCTGCCGCCCTGGCGGTGTCATTTCCACACACTTGGGTTGGCCGCCTGCCAGGCAGACAGGACGCTCCAAAGAGGCGGACTGGACTTCTGGGGCTGAGCGCGAGGAGACGCGACGGGGGAGGAGGAGGAGGAGGAGGAGGAAGAGGAGGAGGAAGATTTCTGTCCGTGCGGCGCACGCTGCGCTCTGCTCTCCAAACGCATCGATGGGTGGTGTTTTTTTTTTTTTTTTTACCGCCCTGCGTTTCTCTTCGCAAAGATCACTCCTCCGAACGACGACAGACTTTGGCATTAAAAGAAAACACACACATAGGACGGAATAATACATTGTTTCCCAAATATTCCTTATTATTAAAAAAACAAACAAGAAAACAAAACATAACCACACATGCAGTTTTTGCGCCACACTCGCTCAACTAGCCCATGCGTATATTTATTGATTATTATGACGCACATGCAGTAACATTCCGGTATATTACGGGCATCTTCTGTGAGCACTATGTTGTGTTCGGAATCAACACCCCCCCCACACACACACACACGCCCACCCTCCACCTCCACCCCGCCCCCCCAGCTGTCCCGAAATCCCACTGAACGGAAAAAGTCCACTTCGGTTTTTCCGCGAAGCTCCAAAAATCCATGAAATGTGTTTGCATGTTCCTCTCTGCAAGCGGGGATGTAGAGGTGGGATCGCGAGGACCGAGGAAGCTGGGGGGAACCCACGCGCTCAGCCTCACAGAAAGTACGCTTTTTACCAAATAACTAACGCTGAATATTTGTATTTCTTCTTTTTTTTTCTTTTTTTACATTTGTCACTAGCAGGCGGCCACTCCGTATGAGTGTGTTCTCGGAGAATAAGCTCTTTTTTTTCTGCCCTTTTTCTTTTTTCTTTTTTTTTGGTCACCATTCTGCACGGCAGGCTGAGAGACGGAGCGCTCGGGCTGTGGGAGCCTTTCCGTCCCCCCCCCCCACCCCCTCACCCCCTCCAACCCCCCCTGCTCGGATATCTGCTTCGGTAGGTGCGAAATAAATTGTTTGCAAATATGCAGATACGTGGGAGGGGAGGGAGGAGGGGGGGTGGAGATCGGAGGGGAGGAAGGGGGTCATACTTTGTTGAAGTCTTCGGAAAGTTGGGCTGTCATCTTCTTATGGGATCAAGTGAACCAGGGGGTCGGGAAGGGGGGGGGGGGGGGGGGGGGTTCGGCGTGTCCTCCGATGCGCGACTGCGGACCATATGCTGGTACCGCAGCTGTGCTCATGGATCGCCGAGTCCGGACAAAAGACACCTATTTCGGATTTTAAAACGGGTTGACGCGGATTCAGCGCCGTGACGCTGGCAAAGAGGATATTTAACAAGTCCGGTTTTTGTTTCTCTCCTGAAACAATCTCAATTTCACATTTTATTTAAATAAGTCGCACCGAGATACCGATCGGCGCGCCGATGCTTCACGGTGAATCAGCCGTTAACGACGCGCACTAAACTTGACGCTTCCAGGTAATGAACGAAATGAGCAACGAGCTTTATCCGGCTTGACAACGGACGGGTTGTCATCCTGTTTACGGGCGGATCGAAACTTTTTTATTTAAGCCTAAAACATCAACCCGCCAGCCGACATCCACAGTTTCCCGTGCGCGTAAACAACATTTAAAAAAAATTGTTTTCATTCCACATGTCAAAATCCTCTTTTTCTCCGGGCATCATTATAAAGTTCCCAGGTACGCGAGCTTTCATTGCGCTACCCGGAGATATACAGCGCCCCCCCCCCCTTTCATCCCCCCCTCCCTCGTGCAATCCGCCACCGGTATCGCTGCTCCAAGTGTTCCATATATTTGCGGATGATTTGGAGTCACGGTGTGCACGGCGTGCTTGTTTTTTTTTTTTGCCTCCTCGCAACTTTTTGTGTGAATTCAGCCTCATTAGGGAGAAGACGCAGCGGGTTCCGGACAATGGATGAAGCCGTGAGTCCTGTTATTGTCACCAGGCTCGTCCTTTTTTTCCTCCTCTTTTTTTTTTCTTCTTTTGGCTTCCTCTATCCGTGCGTCTGCGTCTGTGTGAACGAGTGAGCGCGTGAGCGCGTGCGTGCGTGCGCGCGTGTGCTCGCGCTACGGGAGGTGGGAGGAATAGAGAATGTGTAGCTCACCGTAAGTACCCACACGAGTCCGCAGACAGCGCGTCTGGACCGGAGGGGGGGAGGGATGGAGGGAGGGAGGGGAGAGAAGAAGAGGGGGGGGGGGGGGGGGGGGGGCGCATCGTGCATCGCCTGAACTAATGCATTAAATATTCTCGCGTCTCTGGAGGTGTTAAAGTCAGCTGCTCCACAGTGTGGCGGGGGCCAAATGCTTCCCAACCCTGCAGGAAACGAGACGATATATTTTCCCTCCAACTGTATTAAAAAAGAAAAGAAAAAAGAAGCCGATTTTGTCAGTGAAGGAAACTTATTTAAGAGTGACTCCGAGGAGGTCCAATCCAACCCCATCTGACTTCGATTAGCAGGGTAATTTGTTTATTTGATTAAGAACATGTAAATAATTCATTACGTTTTACTGAAAGACATTGCGTTTCTCCCTCCAGTGTGTTCCTCAAACTAAATGAATGAATGTGTGTCATCGTGTGTGTAATAGCAGGCTACAGTGGGGACCAATTAAATGTGTGTTGAATATTTAAGGATAGAAAAACATCCGGACTGGTAGTTTTGGGTTATTTCTCATGTTTAGATCTAAAAAAAAACAACATGTTCAAACCCACAGCCGCCCTAAATGCTATCCTTCATTCCTCAGCCATTGATCAAATCTATTGTACTACTGAACCAAGTCATCAGTCAGCTGTCACTTTTTTCTGGACTGACATCTATTTTCTTGGCGCACATTTTTAAAAAATCGTGTGAGGATTTCGTTTTTTTTAATTTTTATTACAAAAATACCTGCAAACCTTTTTATTAAAAACCCGAGAGTTGCATGAACGGGTTGAATGAGCTGTTCAGGCTTTCATAATATCACTGACAACCTTTACCCAGCAGCACTGTTGGGAAGTGCTCATCGTTTGTGAGTGTACAATACTATCTATTAAAGTATTCCCAAATTCACCAATTATCCTCGCTCAAACCTTTTGTAAATGCTCCACATGGAAAATCGCCAACAGATTTATCTACTAATTCATATTTAATCAAGCTATTCAACGCCTCTACACTGTTTTGACATGTTTGCAGGTGTTATGAGCAGCTTTGTTTCAGGTGTGCAGAATGTGCATTTTAAAATGTAGATATTTGCCCACTCGCCGGAATTTACAGAATGTTTGTACCTAGCTACTAGCAGGTGGCTAAAAATCCATTTGACATTTTACCGATGTTTACTATTTTGTGCCTCTGAGTTTCCTTTGGTTGCCTGGCAACTGGTCACGGCCAAGAACTATAAACTCCCTGTTAAACGGAAAGTTGTTGTTTTTACACTTTTTTGCAGATCAAAATAAAGTGTTAATTACTGATCTTTAAAGCTACTGATGACATTGTGTTTTCGAAAAGAGCAGTGTATTCTTAGCTAATTTAAGCTAAACCTCTCTTTATATTCGGAGTGCAGACATTGAATCTGTAGTCTAGTCTTAATATCTGCAAGATCAAGTATTTCAATTTGCCAAAGTGTTAAACATTTCCTTTAATCCGAGTGTCTCAGGTCACTGAAACTGCAAACCATCAGCTATAAATAAAAATGTTTTTAGGCAGCACAAGAAAGTAAGCAGAGTGCAATCTCCTAAAGCATCAACAGTGAAGGAACATCTGGATGAAACCACCACATTTCCACTCTTTTCGAATCTTGATTCCATCAGACGGCAAAAAAAGTTAAAGAAAAAGCTACACAATTATAAGCTATTAGCTGATTAAACGAAAATATCATCCACCTATATTCAAACACATTCTGCAGTTAAGTCGACAAAGTGTCCACGAAGTCACTCAGCTGACCCAACAAAACAGATCATGATTTTCCTTCAGTGCTTTTACAGAATGAACTACAACATACATATTTGCATAAAGAGCGTTGTCTTTCACCTCCTCGGGCAAGTCAATATTTTGTCGGCTCTGCTAAATGACCTATTGACCACCAAGACATGAAGAATTGTCCCCCACTCAGATTCGGTTAGAAAAAAAAAAAAGTCAGAAAAAAGATCCACTTGTGCTTATTATGAAGACAACCAGTTCAGAAAGTCACATTCACACACAGTGCTGTTCTTGCTGTAGTTTTTAGTTTACCAAAACAAAGAGGCCACCGGTTATTTCAGTTGATACTTCGATGTTCCGATGATGCGTCTCGGGCGCAGCAGCTCATTGGCCGATGCAGGAAAAGCTGCTGAATTGTTTTCTTTATTCGGACCATTTTACATCCAGACCTTTATTCCCGTCTGCCGGTCCCGTGCATTCATTCTTTAACGTGAACCACAGCATTAGATCCGTAACATCACAGGGAAATGCGTCAACATGCTTAAAGGACTCAAAAACAGCAATTATCCGCTTTCAGCTGTATCGCATTGACACTCAGTGCTGGAGACAGCTGTGGTTTAGTTAACCGCTCACGCAGGGACGTAAATCTCTCCTGTAAATGATGCGCTGAAGGGATTTGATGCTGGAAGTCGAGGAGGCGATCAGCCTAATACTGTACGCCGCGCTCAGGGCTGATGTTGATGTGAGTGTGACTGATGGGTCCACGTGATGGACGGCAGAATTACACAAACAGCAGAGGCAGCGTGAGGCTGAAGTAGGTGCGCACGGCTTCGTTCGACTTCAGCAAACGTCTCGGGTTAAGAACACGACGTATAAACATGTGAAAAACAACATTTAGGTGTTTGTTGATTTTTGAAGGGCATTTAAGTATTTGCATTGTGGCAGAAATGTTTTTGTTTCTTTCAGGTAAAAGACGTTATTGTGTAAAAATGTAACACAAAATTATCTATTTCCGTTTTTTTTCCTGGAACAAAGCTTAAAACAGTGCACAGAGAAGTTCCCAATTAGATCTTGTTACCCTGATGTGTTCAGCCATGATACAAACCAATCAAATTATTCATATTTATCTGAAGACACAAGCTGTGTAGTGAGAAATCAAGATCAGCGACAGCTTTTTGAGTGCGTCTGTTTGTTAGTAGGTCACCTGGTCAGAGAAGTTGTTCCCAGGCTCAATTATTACGCCAGCTGATCGTGATATTTTTGAAACTGTCGTAATGAGAAGCAATCGCCAACTCTGCCGCTTTGAAGCGGTCCGGGGAGCTCATTTGTTGTAGCTATTGATGATGCGCCAGTTTGTTAATTGTTAAAAGCTCAAGTCTTTTATCAAATTTAGAGTGTTGATGAAGCTTTTCGGATATTGCTTTAAATGCACAGCTGCCACAGAGCTAATTCGAGTCAATGTTACAGTCAAATCCCAATGAAGAATCCCCTCTGGCAACGTTGAAGTATTCACCACTGACCGCTAAACACCTCATTTCAGGCCCAATACTCCATAATACCACAAGAACCCCCCCTCTCCCCCCCTCTCCCATGTATCACTCTGATGATTTGCACGGCTGCTTTGCATTCAACCACAAATGAGCTGAGACGCAGATAGTTGGGGATGCCTCCGGGAAACCGGACGCCGGTCAGCGCTGTAGTGAGAGAAGCTGGGAGACTGCGGGGCCGAGGGGCTGCGGCGCTGGCTCTGGTTCGCTGGCGCCACATCCCCCTGAGCTGGTGAGAATGTGGGGGCTGCGCTCTTGCCTTTGAAGCTTTACCTCCCACTAATTCTGGCCTTCCAATTTCCACACACTGCACAGACCCCCCCCCCCCCCCCCCCCCCACGCCGCCCCCCTCGGACCCCCCCCCTCCATCCTCTTCCCCTCCCTTTCCCTTTGTTTCCCTTATAAGGATCGGCCCGGCCATTTCCTCAGCTCGTCTGTGGGAGGTGGTGCGCTTGTTTGTGGACGCCGACAGGTCGGGAGAAAAGCGGCGTAGTTTTTCTTTTCATGCATGAGCAGTCGCAGGAATCTGGCGCTGAAAGCCGCTGGATGGACGCGTCTGCGTTCGGCGGGGAGTCTCTTGTCATTACCCTGGTGAAGCCTCTTCATAAGCCCCGCGGCTCATTTACCAACTGATATTGCTCTACAGGTTGGGCCTTTGAAAGTAAGGGGAGGAAAAATAATTACAACGATAGGAATCAAACACCGTCCAAAGTTAATAAAAATATATTCGACTTCCCTGTTTCTGTTTTAGTGTTAAACAGAGTATTTCAATCAGGAATATATAAAATCAATTTATCCTAATACAACACAATTCAGTTGATTGATACAACACGTTTAGGCTTCTGACCTTGTCATTATTTTCTCTTTGCTAACCAATCAGAGAAGCGCCAGGAAAGCCAGAAAATTTGTAGCTCGGTATCGAGGGATTGGGAATTTTTGGAATTTCCGTGCTTGAATATGAATTTAAGTTTTTCGAAGGATACAAACTAAAACTTTCAGTGGCCAATGTGTGTGTTGCATAACTCTAATGTCACTAACTCTAATGGTAAACTGAAAAACTTGGATAATGTATTTTCATTTGAACACTGAGCTAAAAAGTTTGCTTGATTTGTAACGTTATTACTATTCACTTTCACGCTCCCCCGTTCCCATGAAGCTGTTGTCAGAGACAAAGCTTTAAAAACCCACTGAACACTACCTGCTCAGCATCAAACAGCAGACAAACACAATTAGAGACTAGCTGGTGAACACGGTGGAGCATTTAGCAGATAAATAGCCTATATTTCCCTCGGGGGTTGGTAGAGACCAAAAACCGGGCTAAAACCGAGTGAATACAAAAGCTGCCTTCACAGGTGACCAGAAACACTAAATGAATGCTGATGTGGCTCCTTGACTGCTAAACAACCGCTTGCTTACGACTTCACTTTAAGGGGACGTTCCTCGGTTGTCGATGGATAATCTCTCCAGTGCCTCAGTGATCCTTGATGACTAACACCCGTCTCTTCTCTCTCCCCGCGTGAAGCTTCCGGACGGCCCATGGAACCACGTGGATGAGGGCTGAGCTGTAGAGCGGGCAGAAGCCTGCCTGTCGTCGGCCCGGGGCCCGTCGCGCCACCGAGGTCAAGCGCCAATCGCAGAAAACGGACCGAGACGAGGTCTTTGCTCCCACTCCTCGCTCACCCCCGCCCCCCTTTCCACCCTCCCCCTCCCACCCCCCCCCCCCCCCAAAACCCGGGCTCGTACGCTCTGGACCATGTCTAGCGGGCTGTCGGCGGGGGGCCGGACAGAGGACCAGGAGCGGGGCGGCCGCAAGCAGGACTCCCCCGTTATAGAGCGCAGGAACCGCAGCGGCATCATCAGTGAGCCCCTGAGCAAGAGCCTTAAGAAGTCACGTACCCTCTCCCAGTACACAGCGGTCTCCTCCGCCACCGGCAATGGACACAGGGACAACAGGGAGACCAAGAGCCACCCGGCCAAGCCTCAGCCGCCCCCGCTGCCTCAGCCCACCGTCTCCGCACTGACGGCAGCCAAGTTGGACCGGACCCTCGAACAGGTTCTGGAGGGACAGAATGGCCTGCTGCACTTTGCCCAGGCGGCAGCGTTGTTAAAGCGGGCCGGTATGGAGCACATGCTCCTGCCCGGGGGCATGGGAGTGGGAGTTGGCAGCGGCGACGCGGGCTCGGGGGCGAGCGACTTGGAGGGCACGTCTGTCACGGACGCCGTAGGTGGTCCCGTTGACTTCCCATATGGAGTAGGGGGTGGTTTCCCCTTCAACCCGGGGCTTTTCATCATGACGCCGGCTGGAGTGTTTCTGGCGGACAGCGCGCTGCACATGGCCGGCCTGGCCGAGTACCCGGCGCAGAGCGAGCTGGCCTCTGCGATCAACTCCGGTAAAAAGAAGCGAAAACGTTGCGGCATGTGCCCACCTTGCCGGCGGCGGATTAACTGCGAGCAATGCAGCAGCTGCCGGAATCGCAAAACGGGCCACCAGATCTGCAAGTTTCGCAAATGTGAGGAACTGAAGAAGAAACCCTCTGCTGCTTTGGAGGTAAGTGTGTGTGAATTGTGGACTCAAAAAATAAGCTTAGTTTACAACAGAGCTTCAAAGCAGTCGCAAAAAATAATGACATTTGGGCGCAGATAAGTAAAAATTCATCCTCGGCTAAAATCTGCAATTATCTAAAACAGTTTTCAGCTTCTCGTCTAAAACCACAATGAAGATCTTCTGAATTGTACCTGAGATGTTCCCCTTTAAGGGGAGTAGTACAAGGTGGGGAGCAGGGTAATGACAGGTGGCGAGGAGTAGGGTGGGCACGTGCAGGGTAAGCGCGCACCACGGGGTGCCTTTAATCCCTCCACCGTGCCCACACAATCACTGCGAAGGGGAAGGCTTACGCACATCTCAAGCTTACACGATGCCGTCCCTCCCGCCGGTTGGTCACACGAGCGTCCTCCTCGTGCTCCTGTCGCGATCGTGACGAAGAAGAAAGCGCGGCAGCAAGGTGGAATGTGTGCACAGTATGTGTCTGCGCATGTGCGTGCATGCAACGGGGTCCATCTGGCCACGGAGCTGTCATCTGGAGCACCAGGTGTCAGTGCGGCCCCCCCCTCCTCCCCCTCCACCCACCCCAACTTTTTTCCGCTGCCGCTGTCCTTCTCTCCGGTGACACTCCCCGCTCATTTAAATGGTCCTTCCAAACTTCTGCGTTGCCTCCATCTCGCTCTGCGGCCCAGCTGACCCCCGGCCGGGATGGCGGAACGACCAATCACAAAATCAATTTCGGCGGATGTTCCATCTCAAAGGAAATAAACTTTTGTGATCAATGGATAATGGTGTCACTTTGGCATTACGTAATGAATTGATAACATGGTGTGAACGTGAACCAGCGGAGAGGCCTCCGGTCTAATTGACGCAAACTGAATCCGTGCTTCAAACCGCTAATGGCTTTACCTCTTCATGGATACTCGAGTTCGGCTCCACAATTCGACGGATTAGGCTCAGATTCTACTTTGTTTTGTCTTCTCTGCTAAGGCTTGAGGCTTCCTAGGCCAACCTAAGATTTAACAAAAACTACCTATATTTAGGGGAGACATTGGCTGTGATATTTTAAAGGACCATATTATTTGATTTAGCATTTCTTAACTGTTCACTTCAGATCATGTCATCAGACCCTATTCCAAAAACTTGAAAGAGTATTTGGGTTTTGCAGAGAGTTGAACTAACCTTGGTCAACCCCCTCTGTCATTGCTCTTCACATTTAGGACCTCACTAATAACCTTTGTCATATAAAAAAAACAAATGTATTTTCAGTTCACAGTTAAATAATGTATTTTGTTGTGCCATTTGGAGGACCTGTTTTGTTGTTTTCCGTATTCCAATCCATCTCAGTGAAGATCATTTCTGGTTTAATCCTCAGAATTATGGTATGTTGTGGTTTGGTTTTAAAGGAGAGATTGATTTGTACAATTGGTGTATCATCACACCCCAATGGCACAAAAACAATTTGTACAGTGACAATACATTAAACAATGTAAAATCCTTAAACTATATAATATATGGTAAAGTGGCATTGTGTAAAATTGAAGCATTCAAACGTCAGGGATTACGTGAATTTGTGACGAAAATGAAAGCTGACTTTCACACGTAGAGAATCAAACTGAAGTGTCTGACTACCAGCATGTTGTTTTTCCACTTTCCTATTGTTCAGTTGCGAATTAACTACAGGCTTCATTTGTCTCCGTTGATGATTCACCAATTGTGTCAGCTCGCTGCGTTGGTGGTACGACTCCGCGTCTGCGACAGAAAAGAATTTAATTCTAATTTATGATTTGCAACTGATGTTGTCATGGCACTTAGCCCGATCCCAGTCATTCACACCGCTGGTGCCAAACCCAAGAGGGCTTGAATATTCATGAGTGTTGATGTTGATATAGGTCATCATGCTGCTCTAAACGTCGGTCTGCTGATGTTGCCAGTAGCCACCTCATATAAAAGGAACTCCAGGGTCTCATAAAACTGCCAAGCCTCCAAGTGTAATAGCAGTGTGATCATTGGCTTTAGTAATCATACACTGTGATTACCTCGCACGCATTTTAAACTCCTGACATCTGAAAGTGTGTATTACCACTTTGTGCGAGGCCCCTGTAGGCAACGCAAACAATTAGACTGGTGAATATTGTTAAAGAATAATGCATTTGGTATTGAAACGCTACTCTATCATCCCTGATGGTGACGTTACACAATCAGTGTCGTTTTGCAAACACTATGAACATTGCCTTAAGTAGTCGGACGTCACAGTTTTGCATAAAGTCCTTGAATTTTCCGCTTGTGTTCACCCAATAGATATGGACGTGGATGTTTTAAAGGTCAAGGTCTCATTAATTGCAGTAAAAAGAGGCGCATTGATGAAACGGGACATTACGTTGACAGAGATGCAGTGCCTTTTCCTCTGGGAGCCACACGTGTGTGCAGTGCTGCAAACACACTGGATGTCTCAGGAGGGAGATTGCCGTGGAAAAAAGGCAAGAAACGTTTGCGTGAGTGGGAGTCAAACCGATAAATCACTTGACAACCCACTGCATGAAATACAATCTTTGTGACAAGGTAATCTCTGTAATATTCTGCTGATGGTCTTGTTCGTGTTACTAGTGCATGGACCTCTTTCTAACGTGTTTTGACAGTGTAAACTTTTGCACTTTTATGAAAACAAAGTGTCTTCACCTTGTGTGCATTGCAAAATAACTGACAAAATGTTTAACAGACCTGGAAAGTAACACGTTTTTACGACAAAATAAGACTCATTCAATCAGAAAACCATTTCAAAGTTCAGCAACCTGCTGCCTCTTTGCCCCAAACTGGATTTTCTACAGTATCAACTCTGCTCTGTCAGCAGTGCAACGTTTTTCAATTTTGGCTGCTTTTCATTTGTTCTCGTGCCCTCATACGTTTTCCCATTAGCAGTCTAGAAGTCGTCTCTAATGGTTTTGTTATTAAGTCAACAGCTCTTGTTCAGCAGGTGATTAGATCAGAGATTACGGCCCCGGCCGCACCGTCGGTACAAGCTAAATGTCGGACGGGATTCACGGGAGGACGCGCCGCGTCAGGAGGGATGCGAGCGCATCGTCTGCAGCAAATCCCAAATGTCAACAACAAGCAGATGATGCAATATTGCCAATTATGGTTCTTCATTTGAAATGTGTTTTAAAGGCGTCTTAAAGCAAAGGTCTTGGTCTCGCCGCGGCTCCTCGGGTGAGCTGCAGTGAGCCTCAGCTGTGGCTCAAACATCCCCCTCGGTGTCACATCCCCCTCCAATCAAAGAGAGAGCTGCACGTCCCCGTCCGCTGTTGACGTCATACTCGTCCCCGCCGCCCCCCGAAGGCGGCACGCCTGTGTCGTTTGACTTTGACTCCGTTGTACCTCGTTCGCGCGATCCCGTGAGCATCTTCAGTACCGAAGTGCAGTCTGAAAAAGCAGCAGTGTGCTTATTCTCAGGGTGTCGACGGGCTTCCATTGAAAGCTCGCTCAAAGAAGGAGTGTAAAAATTGGCAACTGAGGGGGAGTCGGCGTGCCGAGGCCTTATACCTCACAGCTCGCTGGCTGGAGATGTCTGGATTTATTCTGGGAATGCTACATTTCGAGAGAAATAAGTGGGAAGGCCGTTCCTTGCCGCTCGGTGCATGAATCCCCTCCAGTGGTGTCAGTCTCAGCGACGCTGTTCGACACCCAGAGGGAGAGAGATGGAGCGTCGGAGTGAGGAAGTTGTAATCAATCTCGTTTTTTTTTACATGTGTGTCCCCGTGGGTTGAGGATGTGCGGTAATGGTGGGTGGGCTGCATTTGAGAATAGATAAGCTGGCTACTAATAGAGTTATATATTTAGTGATGAAATCCCCCCCCGGTGGTGTTCAAGGCTTGTGCTTCTTCGTCATCAGACAGGCGCCTAACGCACCCAAACATACGATTGTTTTCCGTTGTTGGGGTGCGGGGGGGGGGTTGCACTTTCCCGGCACACGTGGATGTGTGGGCAAGTTGCTGGGCAGACGGGGGGGACAAGTAGGAGTGGACAGGAGGAGACACAGACGTAAGGCGAAGGAGGCGGGTCGTAGACTGCCTCTGGATCAGCTTTAGGTAACTTATAAGAAAAGTAATTATTGTCGTATTTTGTGAAACAAAGAAAAAACTGGTGATTCTACTGGCGATTTTTTAAACCGTCCAAAAAAACTCATCCAGACCAATCAAACCAATCACACGCAGCTGTCAATCACTGCTCATGAACTCTGATCAAATGGTCAAACCAGGCTGCGCTTATTAAATGTGAATTATGATTGTGTTGAAACAACCATTATGATGAAACATTATCGTCCGAACATCTGTCGATTTCTAACTCAATTTAGCCAGTTTGAAGCGCTTAAACGCTTTTGGGCTCTGATTATTAATGGTTAGCATGGAAGATCTGGACCATTAGTTGTTAAAACACCTACTTACAAGATGTATCGGTCCGATAAAAGAATACCTTCAGTAACTTATTTACATATCAATCTCAATAGAATCTGAGAGGGAGAGCAGGCCGAGGAAAATAATGCTTCACCTCTCCAGTCAGACAGATAGCGCTTGTGACAGCTGGAGGTCATCGCTGTTTTGATTCAGATGCTTTAATGGTTCACTTCCCGGCTCCTCGTGAGCGGCAGACAGTGCCTCATCCCACATGTACTGATGCTGCTTTAGATTAGCCATATTTACGGCAGTTAGTCCAATTAAGGATGCCTCTTCCCTCTGATTTTGTTGCATGTTACACACAAATTGTCAAAAAAAGACAAATGTGCTCCCCTTGTTTGAAAAAAAACAAAAAAAAACGCATCCCATCGATTTTAGTGATTGGCCACTTCACATCCACGGATTGCATCCGTTTGAACCTGTGCAATCAGTGTTGGTGGAGAGAAGCTTTTCTATTCCTGAACCGCTGCCATTTTTCCATTGATTGCTCATGTTTGATAATGCAGGGAAAAAAAGCATTTTCGCTCCATGCGAGCGGATGTGTCGGTTCCCTTCCCGCCCGCGCCTTACGTCACTGTCAGCGCAGCCCTCGCCGGGTTTTTTGACATCTGTGGCGGCGCCAGATGTTGCTGCCCTCTGACTGTCTCCTTAACAGCTGAGCGCTGCTGTAGAAAGGTCATCACGGAGATGGATGGCACGCCAGAGATACTTAACACACAGACCATAACATGATGTTGCCAATATGTCGGCTGTTAACCTCCAGGTTTGTGGTTCCTATAAATATTAATTTGAGCCACAAAGAATTTCCCTAATATCTACTCTACATGTTTGAGAGATCGAAATGGCGGACGTGGGCTCCGAATGGTGTCTTTGCCGTCAGATTACCCCTGATTGAGTTCATTTAACAAATAAAGCAGTGTGGGCTTAATTACCAGAATAATTACCTTAGTTTGAAGCCTTTTTAGCCGAGTGGAAATGTTTCATTTTTGTAACCCAGCTGGAGATAACGTTCAAAATGAAAGCGAATGAAACCTGTGGAGCACAAACCCAACTGTCACTCACTTCCGTGTCCTGATATGAACAATGGAATTCAAAAGGACCTTGCGCCGCTTATTCGCTGGGCTAGAAATGGTTTAAGTGGGCCTGAAAAGCAAATAGGCCTTTTTGTTTTCAACCTAACTTCTCGGAACCGACGGCACATTTGCTTCCGACGCCTTTGTGGGCGGAAAAAAAAAGGTCCCCACAGCTGTGCGAGACGCACGCGATATTTAATCTGATTATGTTGAGGATAGACATTTTTGGAATAAATCTAAAGATTTAAGAGAACGGTGTGTGACACGAACACGCCACACACCGCCTCTGTTTACCTTTTCCATTAGATGAGTGTGATTGTTTGCATGGGTGTGGGTATCTCACAGCGGGCACGGCTCCACAGTGAAGCCTCTCCTGAAACGCACTCACGAAAAGGTCCGTCGCGTTGGAGAATTCGAGCTCAACAGTCTCCCCGTTGTGGTGTGATTTCGGTGGGCGTACCGTGAGTGTCGGTTAACGTGTCGCTGTGTGTGGAGGTGTGCGACTGTACTTGAATACATATTGGTTGGGACGCGAGAGTGAGTGTGTGTGTGTGTGTGTGTGTGTGTGGGTGCATAAATGTTCCTACTGCCTCGCTCCAGGCAGAGCTGGCTAACGGAAGAAATCCGTGCCGCGGAAATCGAGTTGCACTTAGCGGGACGCCAGCCCGCGCTGCGGCTCCAGGGGTCACGGGCGCCTCTCTATCTCCTGTCTGGCAGGCCTCCGCGGGGCCCTGCAGCTGCGTGCGTTTTTTCGCGCCGCAATCAGAGGCGCGGATAACCGGGGGAGAGCGAGGGACGGCAGAGCGGCGGTGCGGGAGGAGAGCAAACGCGTGTGGGGTGGCTAAATAATAAATGTGGCATATGAGGATTTTTTTTTTTTTTTGTGTGTGAAGCCCGGACTGACGCCCCGGTCCTGTGGTGGTGCTGAGGATTGATGACGGGGGAGGGAGGGAGGGAGGGAGGGGGGGGGAGTTAAGGCCACACCATGCAGTGTGTCGACTCATCCAGGGAGAAAGAGAGGAATAGAAGTTAATCGATTAGTGGTCGGGCGTTAATAATTTAAGTCGTTCGTTGACAGGAAATAAACATTCTCTCGTTCCACCTTCTGGAATCTGAAAAGATTTCTTCCTGTTATTGCACAATATCTCTGGACATTCGCTCTGGTTATTATTTTTGTCAAAAAGACAAAAGATAAAGAAAAACAAGCGACGGGAGAGTCGATAACGACAGTAATCATTAGTTGCAGCCGGACTACAATTGGAGTATAATCAAAATTTAGTTGTGAACCTGTCGTGCGAAGGCAAATAAAAAAACATGGAACCACGTAATTTGTGAACAAGAGAAAAAAGCACCGGCAGGAGGGCAACATCGTGACAGCTTCACTGTCGGGGCGTGAAGAATGAAATGTGCTGCTTTTCATTAACAACGCTAACCGTCTCTCTCCCCTCTCCCCTCGCTCCCCCCCTCCCTCCCCCCTTTGTCTTCTGTTTCTCCAAGAAGGTGATGCTTCCTACAGGAGCGGCGTTCCGGTGGTTCCAGTAGGACTCCTCCTCCACTCCCTTCCCAAAGCTCTGCCATCAAGTGCAATGCCAACTCCTGGATTGTCTCCAGAACAGACACTGGCTAATAAACAAACAGGCAAACAAATAAAATTCTAGAAAAAAAAATAACAAAAAAAAAAACAAAGCAGAAAAAAAAGAAGAAATCAATCGGGTAACGGATGCACCTACTTATTCCTTGAACCAAAAATGAAATGTAAAGAAAAGCATCTATGGCAACTTTCATTCCCTTTTCTATGTTTCCATTTTGGTACCTTTTGTCCTTTTTCCAGCAGGTTTTTTTCTGTCGCTTCAACACGGAACTGTTCATTGACGGACTGAGTGTGGACAATCAACTACTTTCTGTGTTTGGTGTTAATGTTGTTCATGTGTGGAAAGATACAGTACTTGTGTAGAGAATGTAAATTTACAGCTATATTTCAAAACTAGTGGCTAATGGCAAACATTATTGTAATTCTTCACCATTGTTTTACTTTAAAAAAAAACATGTCCGTTTTTTGCGATTCGGTTTTCAGACGGATCGCTGGTGGTCGCCTTCGAAAGACGAAGAAACCTTTTTTCGAAAATTGTGACGCTGTTGATTTTGAACTCAAAGTAAACTGAAGAACTCCCGTTACCAGGCCACTGCTGTAGTCTGTAGTCTCCTCAACCAGCCCGCCTCTGCATTTCCAAACTTTTCCTTTAGTGATACTGGCAGCCTTACGTTACCGTGGCCCTTCTGAGCATGTGCCAATACTGCTCAGGGCAACAGCACTAAAGAGACAGCACTTGCTCTGAGTCTACCCTACTGAACGCACTGAGACAAGATTCTTTATGTTGGTTTTTGTTTATTTGCTACATTTTCATGATTTTGTTTTTTGTTGCTGGGTAGCTACAACTTTTGGAAATAACCAATCTTTGTATTTGTTTAGAAAAATTCGACTGGTTTTTGTGAATAAAAAGGAATGCATGTATTGTGTCAAAATTTACAATTCTGATGTTTGTCCACTTTGTCTATTTGCATGGTGTTGTTTTCTTAAACAGCTGGTTTGACAAAAAAGGAAACATTAAGTGTACATTTACCGTGGATGGGGAAAAGTATTCCCTTTTCTTTAATAATTGGACGGTGCAGAACTCATTAAAGGTAGATCGGGCGCTGGTATGGATCGCCACGTTGTCCTTGGTTTTACCGGGAGATTTCTCTCACGGCCTTGTGTGTGACAAGGTGTGACTCGGAATGACGGAGCCTTGCTGTGCTAAAATGTAGCCGAAATAATTTAAAATATGTTGGAATAAGAACAATTTGATTGGAGTGTTTCTTAAAAAACGAATGGAACCTCCCAAAAAAAGCCTGTATTTTATCCTAGATAATCTTTACTCTTTGTGATATTCAACGTAGTCCATAACATTTCGAGTCAGACCATCATTAAAAGTCATGGATTACTAATGGGAAGTGTTCTCCTCAGATCTATTAAGGCTATCCAGACGAATCCTGGATAACGTGTCTAGCTGAGTTTAGGCCCGGATCTGTTCTGCATACATGGAGTAGAGTTTAGATAAAGACGTAGATAAGTGAGAGCGCCGCTGATTTAGAACCATTAAAAAAAAAAAAAAGATAATCTCACATGGGTCTCAGTGTAATTACTGGTTTTAATGCCTCAGGTCTGTAACACTAGAGTGAAACTCCATTTCCTGCTGAGTGAGGATTCTCAGTGATTTTTCTCTCACAGTCACTCTTTCATATCCAGGTGGGGAAGTGGATGCAGATTCCTGCCGAAGCCGCGGCGCCGAGCGTTTTTAATTAGTGGATATCCACGGTGGAAGGCCCGGTTTGGTGGGCTTGTGTACGAGCTCGTGATCAGCTTGGCGAGCGGAGGGTTGGCGAGTGTATAAATCCCCCCCTCCGGTGACAGTGCTGGGCTAGTTCCATCGCCATGGCGATGGGGGCAGTGTGTGCGTGAGTGTGTTCTGTGTGTGTGTGTGTGTCTGGGTTAGGGTTGGGGGGGGCGGGGGGGTGATGGCTGAGGCCTTTCATTATTAATGTGCACCGCGGCGTCCTTACCTCCTCTGAGCCCGCACAGCTCACTGCCTGACCTGCCATCCAAGGGAGAGGGAGTGGGGAGGAAGGGGAGGAAGGGGGGATGAGGGGGGGGGGGGGGCGAGCAGGCAGAGATAAAGAAAGAGAAGTGAGCCGGAGAGAAGGAGAGAGACAACACAACTAGTGTGTGGTGTGAGGGCACCCGACTGGAAAGTAGAATTTCACTTTTATTTCACACTTGACACCAAAAAAAAAAAAAAAGGGGGAGAGATTAAGATTTTTCGGTTTGGGGTGTGGTTGCAGGTGACTGTGGCTTCTGCCTGCTGAGGTGTAACAGCCCAGGGGGAAGGGGGGAGGAGGCGAGGGGGCGGGGGGGGGGGCGTCAGGTGGTGGTTGGTGGTTTTCTTCCCGCAGAGGGGTGTACGGCTTGGTGAGCAGGCCTGTCACACTGGGAAAATCCTGGAATCTTATCACCGCCTCACAGACTCTGAGCCGCACTGATCTACTCACCCTCATCGCCAGCAGACATGCCCTTCCCCCCCCCCGTCCAAATGCCCCTGCACAGGCTGGCCCCTTCACGGCTCGCCCGCCCCCCTTCCTCCAACGGGGAGATAGGGGGAACTGATGAAGTCCAATTGTTGAGGAGGGGAAGAATGTTTCTTGTAAAACAGGAAGAGCAAACACACGAGTGCACAGGCCAGAGTCAACGCTGACCCTTTCTTTTTTTAATGCATGACCGTGAAGTCGCAGAGAGGAACAATGTGCTATATGTGAATATCAGAGAGAAAGTTTGCGTTATAAGGAACACGTGGGAGAGAGCTTGTCTCATTAGGATTCACACAATTTTCTCTCGGTCCCTCCAAATATTCTGCCAAGAAGTTACTGCAGCTACTGACAAAGGTCATGCATGATGTAACTGTGTTAAAATATCCATTTTCCCCTGTGCATCACAGTCTGCCAGTTTCTTCATTTTGCACTGGTTGAAAACGCTTATAAATTTCTAGAAGTATCCAGAAAATTAGTTATCTAATTGGTATATGCACTCCGGTTCATTAGTAAAAGAAAGAAATAGAATTGTAGCAACAAAGGTAGTGACATCTGGTCCAATTTTATACTGTGAAATCAGTTAGTTGTATTTAGTAATTATAAATGGTGCTATGAATGATGCGGAATGCAATAGTAGTTAAAAGGTGCTACTCTATTGATAATACATGTCTTAGTAATATTTTACATATATGTTGAGGTAGTTTTCATGTATTTCTAAAAAAGTTAGAGCTAATCTGCTAATGGAAAATAATCTGCAGCTTGCCAGAAACACTGAACCACAAAATCAATGCAGCCGGTATTCCTATTGAGTATTGATCTTTTTAAATTGGTGCATTCTATATTCAATTTATCTAACATCCGAGTATAAAAAAAGTTAATGAACTCTGACGACACAAAAGAATTTCGCAGAACCTTACTTAACCTACTAGAAACAACCATATAGGCCGATAGAGACGTTTAAAAAGATTTTACAAGAGGTCGGTTTTTGATCCGCAAGAATTAGGATCGATGCTCGTCATGTGTGAAACTTATTGTGTCAATGTAGTGTTTGTGGTTTATTGTCTAAATTTGATATATACAGTAAAAGTTACTGTTCATCTCTTTTGGTCACTCACTCTTTTTTGATGGACCTAAAACACTTTTTTTTTCTTTTGCAAGAATTAAAAATGTTTAGGTCAAAACCCAGGTATTGTGGTTTAGTTTGGGGTAAAAGTTGAGTCTAATTTCACTTACTTAACTCTTACCGCCACGAGTGAGTTAATATATTACACACAGATGTGTATATATATTATTTTTCGTTATAAAACAGTTCTGAATTTCCCAGAGAGATCAGGCTTCTTATTGAGGTGAATGTGTTAAATAACAAAGAACAAATCTCACTTTGGCTATGAATGAATAAAATGTTTACTCTCTCAACCACCAGCACTGCGGCACTCCCACGCGCCTCACTCACACGTGTGTATACGGTCGAGACAAAATTACTTTCAATTGCTAGTATATTACAAAAAATGTGTTTGTTTGCAATCAACGTACAACTGAACCTGAACAAACACCCGGCGTTCATCGTGCTTTCCAATAGTAGCATAAAGTTGACACCTAGCTAGCACGAGCTCACTTTGGTGGGGATGTTCCAAGGAACCATCTGTGTCTTAGTTTCATTTAGTCGTTTGAGTTGTGAGAGCATTTCGTTAACGCCAAGGTAGTTAATGTTCACCGCTCGCAACTGGCAGGCCAGTTAGCTTGTTAGCTTGTTAGCGTGTTAGCTGTCGTGGCTGCTAAGGGTGAATCAATACCATAGCGGTCAGCTAACTGTCTAAATACTTCCTTAAAGAACACAAAATAAGTTGTATCCAGTCGGGAGACAATTGTGACTGAATTTGTGACTAACAGTGAAAAAAGAACAAAGGCTTTCTATTCTATTGACATTATCACAATAAAAGCTTGTGCTGAGAAGAGCTGTGAGAAAACTTCTCTGTTCAAACTCCACTGCAGATTCCATATAGCTCATGTGCTATATGCGATTAATCAAACTCACTGTCAATATTTGAAATGGACAAACAATCATATACGTACATGTGTATAATAGCCCACACTATATTATAAGTCAATGCAACACGGTCTCAACTCGTCAACATGTGTCATTATTAGTCGCTCAGAGCAGCTGAATGAGGTGTTCTGGGGTTAAGCCACTGTGCTTTACCTGTGTCACACACCTGGTGAAATGTTGTTGAAACTGTTTTAATCACAATGACTCTCAGGTCAATTGTGTCCGTCCAGCCAGGAGAATGTTTTATTAAATCGGACAAAATCTCGAGAATTTAAACTCCCAGCACCACTTATACCAACCACAGTGGTTGTCTGATCTTTTATTTATACATGATCATTACAACATGCATCTCAACTCTTGGAATGTTTTAAAGAGACTAAATTATGGAAGTCATGATACACATGACCTTTATGCACCCGATGTCATTCTAAACTGAACGCAAACCGCTTCTGTGCGAGAAGTGAATATGTGGCTTAAAGGTTCTTTGCATTTGCTGCATACTGAGATCCTGCGGAGCCCACCGCCGAGATCTGCTCCAGCCTCAGAGCCGTCAGCTCCGAGTCTGTGATAAAACTATTAGTACATCTCAGGGAGTCATTTTCAGATGTCGGGTTTTTCTGTTGTTAGTTATTCTCGGCCAAAGTCTAAAAGGCGCATCATTTGACAAAAGTATCGCTGAATCCCCCGTGCAATGATATGATCTAGCATACAATTCCCATGGTTCAATTATGAAGCAAAGCTCCATTCTTTATCAAAGCTCTTTGGAGTGTGCAAAGGGGATTGGTTTAAGTGTAGCCAGACACACAAACACACACACACACCTACAGGACGAGAAATTTACTAATGCACTAAATCACATGCAAACATAAACACATATGCTTCCAAAAAGACACAAAACATGCACAGTCTCCCTTTATTTCTCTCTCCCTCTCTCTCTATCTCTACCACACAGACACAGACACACGGACACGCACACGCACAAGAGGACACGTGGGAACAGATTAAGTCCAAATCAATGGCTGTGGCTGGACTGGGAGAGAGATTTCACCTGGGGTTCTCGTTAAGGTCTGACACATGCGGCAAAGGCTGGAGGGAGTGTTATTACCAGGGTGATGGTTGATAAGACACTCGTTTCTCCACGGTGGTTCTCGCGGGAAAATGCCTCGTGCAGCCATGGAAACCATAAGGCTAGGTGATATGCTATAATTGGGCCAACGTTTTTAACGGTGCAGCTGCACTGCCGTCTTCAAATGAGAAATTACAGTGGGGCCACAGCGGAGGAGACGCGTCCGATATTTAAGAATTCCTTTTTTTGATTTGTTTCATCCAGCAGACGAGTTCTGTCCGACAAGTTGTGTCCT